AGCACGGGTTTCCCTCGAACTAAATAATGCGAAAGAGATCAAGCGTAAGGCAAGAGGTAATCATATTGGAAAAATGTTCACATGAAAGTGCGCGGTCCGAGCTTGAACCCACTTTTCTTTGCTTTGTTTTCCAAGCAAGCATGTTACCACTAAGCTATTACTGTTCTAATTTCCTTAGTGTAGGTAATTTAGCCGATGGCATATACCTAGCGGCTAGCAGTTGACATGATGTAACTATTAATTTTCCCATAAAACCATTAGTCGTTTATGTTACTTATATGAAGTGATGGTATATAGATGTTATATAATTCATATATTTTATTACGCTATTATTATTTAACTACCTTAAGCCTTATTCACAACATACATACATTAGGAACAAAATCTTAGTTAAGTTTTGCAAATAATTAAAACACATTAAAATTTTATTTAAAACTAGCGACTCACCTCGCTAGCGCGGGTTCATCCCTAGGTACTTCCCTATTCATACGTTCATCCCAATTTTGAACCCGTTAAGGGATGATTTTCGGGATAAAAACTGTCCTATATCCTTCCCAGGGTCTCAAACTATCTTCTTACCAAATTTCATCTAAATCGGTTCAGTAGTGTCGGAGCCTATTCGGTATAAACAAACAAACATAAAATCAAATCTTTCCTCTTTATAATATTAGTATAGATTTATTCATTAATCGACGAAAACCTTTTTACTGTAATTTTCATATAAAATTTTCATTTTATCATTAATTATACCTAATGAGCGTCTTTACTCTTTAGTCAATATTATCAACAAAATGATAGCACCGAATCTGTATAATTGCGTCATTATCCGGTCTATATGTAAGTACACTATATCAATCGGGTGCGATTCTAGTCACAACACAATTTTCCTCCTATTTTGGGCGACATGATGATTAGCTGTGGCCTATATTTTAGGCAAGACTGTAAAAATACCAGTATCGTTGGCAATTTATACTCTGCAAAAATCAAACTTTTAAATTGACTGGAATAAAAATACTTTTTAAATAGAAATGTACGTACATGACACCCAAATAAATTTAAATATAATTATTATACTATCCTTTTTCTTGGCATTCTAATGGGACGTTTAGGTTAAGGCCCGAACCACACTATAGTGCCAACCACGGTTAGTTCTCAGTCCGTTTAGGTAAAATCCTATCATTAAATGTCGTTGATAGAGAGTGATTCGGAACTTGACTCTTACTTGTAGTGTACTCGTATATGCACTCATTGTTTTTTGTATAAAAATATCTTACCAGAGCGATATCGAGTCGACAACGAATTGTGATCGGCACTATAGTGTGGATGGTGCCTAACAGCTCTTTAAAAGTCTCATAGGTCTCACTAGTAGAAAACAACACGAAACATTCAAACAAAAAACATACACCCGAATGGAGTACCTTTTTGAGACGTTTTTGAATTCAGTCAAAAATACATCTCATGGCGTTATTCTTTATTATTTCAATTGCATAACTGCAATGTAAAAGACCTCTTATGATAAGGTAATCGAGGAACAAATTAAAATATGTTTATCTAAAGCATAACTTATAATCTCCCTCACATAAATCTTAATGTTAAATGATAAATCTACAAACAATATCATAAAATTATTTTTTTATTACTTCAACAACTTTTTTGCTATTCATCATGAGCCAATAATATGATACTTCTTTAAATAATATAATATCATTATACAAATAAGTCTTTAACATATACAAATAAGAGTAGGATGACAAAATATTTATGTAAGGATAAGTTTTTTTTTATTAAAAACAAGATTTTATATCTTAAAAATGGTGTAATAAATGGGTTTGATTTAATTTAAAGTTTATTTTTTACGTTTTAGGTATTTATTCGAATTCTTCTTTCATTTAATATCGATATCATGGGGGTATCATAAAAAACACATATTCCGCCATGTTGGATTTAGAATGACATCACTTATCTAACCATGCTTTGTCAACTAAACATGTATGCAAAATTTCAGTTCAATCGGTTGAGTATAACTGATTTAAAATTCAGTTGCAAGATTTGACCCAAACAAACATACATACAAACATTGCACGTTAAATAAAATCTTGTAATAAACAATATAATTTCGACAAATATATATATATATATATATATATATATATATTTACTATTATATATATATATATATTATATATATTTATATATATATATATATATATATATATATATACATTTACTAGCATTGTCCGTGGCTCCGCCCGCGTTCACATGACCAAAAACCAAATTCTTAGGTTTTACATATTAGTATACTCTTACATTGCAGATTTTGTATTTTTTTTCTCAGAGATGAGACATTTTCCTGCGGTAAAAAGTATCCTATATGTTGACCCGGATAACCAGCTATCACCATACCAAATTTTATCAAAATCCCTCCAATGGTTTTTCTGTGATGCGGTAAAGACAGACAGACAGACAAAAATTGTAAAAACTATAGATTCGGCCTCTGTATCGATAATAATGTCTATTTCAATGAGATTTTCAAAAAATATTTAATGTACAGATTCGGCTTGGTTACAATTTTATTATATGTATAGATAATATACTTTTGGGAAAGCAAAGCAAGCAAATATTAAGCAAAGGCACGTGGAGTCAGCCAGGTCTATAGCACATTTTTAATAATTACCTACAATAATATAAGACATCAAAGGTAAAAGTAGGTATAGCTTATTTGAATACGGATATTTATTTTGGCCTATCGAAATATTTTCCCAATGCAGTAAATATGGCTCACCAAAATAGATAAAACAAAAATATAAAAACTATCGCGAATTTTGATTTACATTTATATTATTTATTAGCGGCTCACCTCGCTTCGCTCGGGTTCGCCTCTAGACAAATAAAAACAAATCTATCCCACGGCTATATTTTTTCGGGATAAAAAGTAGCCTATTTGTTATTCTGATGTAAGAACTATATTATTGTAAAGTTTCATTAAAATCCAATCAGTAGTTTTTGTGTACTAAGCTGTATAAGTTACTATAGTTTTTTAACTATCCCACGAGAACTCCTTATTTTTCCGGAATGAAAAGTATCTAAAATGTTAACCGGGGATATAAGGTACCGCCATGCAACATTTCATTTAAATCAGTCCAACAGCGGAGATTAGCCCGTAAAAACAGACAAACAGATAAACAGACACACAGACAGAGAAACAAATAATTGAAAAAAGTCTGGATTTTTTAATCAGAAAATCTCAGTTTTTAGCATTTTTTTCTATGTACAGACATTGGACCTCTAAAGTTTTATTATATTATATATTATAGATTTAATTGTTTAGTATAAACAGTTATTATCAAATTTTATATTCTACAAATAAATATGTACATATTATATATTATAATATGTAAATCCCCACAACCGCCCACAAAACTTAGCATGGTGAGTCAATACGAACCTTTTAAAATTCCTATATTAGGTTTATATTTAATTATACGATAGAAATAATTTTCATCCAACTGATAAAAAATAACTGTAAAATCATTGACCGCTCTACATTTTGCTCCGACAAAAATATAAGCTTACACTGAGTTCTATTTAAGTTACGTTATTATATATTTTTTTTAATTATAAACATTACATTCTAAGGGTCTACTACATACTAGCTTTTGCCTGCGGCTCCGTTTGCTCTCTGATTCAGATTTTTTATCCGCCAAACGCTGTAAATCAAGAATGCGATCTTAATCAAAAATTGTATGTAATTTGTTTCATAGCATCTCTGTATTGTCTATGCAGCAGATTTTTCAATTTTAAAACTCAGAACTTTTTAAAGCATTCTGAGTCTGGAAAGTGTTATAAACCGGTAATAGAATGTGTTGCTGAATAAAAGAAAGGAAACAAAAAGACAAATTGATAACTGTCGAGGTGATGCACATGTGCACTTTCTTATGCGACCTTGCTTCGCTCGGGTTCGACCCTAGGTACGTTTTAACGGTTAATATGGAATAGAAAAACTCTGTAAAAAACAAAATCAAGTCTGTTCCACAGGAATCGTACATTTTTCCGGGATAAAAAGTAATTTATGTGCTGTTCCAGAATATTATCTATCTCTGTGCCAAATTTCATCCAGATCCGTTCTTCTATTCTAACTTTTGCATTTTTAATAGTAATGGGATAAGATGGGATTAAAATCACATTCACCCCTTTCACACAATTCGTTTCTATAACAGGCAAGCAAGTTGAAATAACTTAGGACAGTAGCATTCTTATAGGTACAATACTGATATGTCAGATATCTTTGCAACACATGCTTTAATGGTTTAGACTTTAAAAATTTTTTTACTGACAATTATAATTCTTGCAATTGCAAAAAATATTTGTTTCATCAATTTATTAATGCATTAATTACCAATTAATTTATGAGCATTAGACATTTCATGTGATTAAAGCGGGAAGCCTTGGATAATGATGACATAAACAGGAACACTTAATTCTGCCCAATTCTTTGCCTCCGATACTTCCCAAACCCCAATAGAGACCGCCGCCGAATTTTCTTGATTGCCACTAAGTGCCGCTAGTCCTGTTTGATTCGGCCTTAAGCTAATATTGTACTTTGACCTCATTGTCGTACAAGGGTTAATACTCAGGAACTTATTTTAAATCTTATTTATAGAAAAATATATCTTCTCATAAAGAAATAAGGCTTATTATATCTTGATCACATGTTAAACTACCGCTGTAATATGAGTCTTCGTGATAACGTGGACAATTTCAAGTTCATTCACCATTAATTTGATTATGCTAAGGCCTTTGTAGTGGATAAAGTATTTTATTTATAATGCTGGAACATAATATGTTTTATCAAATAAGAAATATTCATTAAATAATTTCAACCTAAGTATTAGATAAAACTTTTTTTTTTGGATTTTAGATTGTTTTATATATTTTATATCAATAATAGATTCGAGTAAACGTTTTACTAATTTTATTATTTGTTTGTTTCAGTTACAAAAATGGCCAGTAAAGAGCAAGAAGCCTTAGAGAAGAGTTCCGGAAGCACAGTCGAATTAAAGCGAGAATTAGGATTATTCTCTGCTATTAATTTAATTTTGGGAGTAATGATTGGATCAGGAATATTTGTGTCTCCATCATCCGCTTTAGAACATTCCGGTTCCGTTGCTTTGTGCCTAATAATATGGACTGTTTCTGGAATTATATCTTTATTAGGTGGGTGTAGGTAAGATACCTATTGTAATTAACTGTAGGATATTAGATGTACTGTAGGATGTAGAAAAACGTTTATAATAATATTTAAGTAAATTATATTTTTAGGAGCACTTTCATTTGCCGAATTAGGAACAGTCCTTGGAAAATCTGGCGCAGAATATTCTTATTTTCAAGAAGCATTTGGAAAATGTCATAAATATTGGGGACCTCTACCGTCATTTATATGCGCCTGGATATACGTTATGATATTAAGACCAGCAGAAGTAGCTATTATTGTGATGACTTTTGCGGAATACGCTATGCAGCCTTTTACAACAGATATAAATCCTGATCATAAAAGAACTGCAATTAAGCTTGGATCATTGGCAGCTTTGTGTAAGTATATATTAATATGATGAATCAATCATAAAAATCGATTTTTATTATTATTTTACGAATTTATATTATAAGCACATCCCTAGTTTGTACTGACGTACGCCGTTTATCGTTATTCAATTTTGACAGTTGTTCGTAACCGCCGCGTCTGTCAAACAAATGTTTACTTGTAGTACGTTGAATCTTATTTTTAAAATAAATTAATAAAGAACTTCCAAAATATATAAACGCAACTAATTAATTATATCAATTTATAAAGTTAGTGTGCTATTAAAACAAAATAAATAAAATTAACATCGTCAGTTACAATCCAACTGGACCATGTCGAATAACATAAATACTAAAACAAAAGATGGTTTATCAGAGGAAATAAAACGATTAAAATTACGATGTCTTGATGCGTGCAATATAATCGAAAACTCTCCTTTGGACGCCAATATTACCCCGAATAACATTGGTGATAAAGCACTTTGCTATGTAGAAGGTCTTCGAACTGAGATTCAGAATTCTATAACAATAATTCCAACGGACGAAAATTTGATAATCAGCCAATTTCTTGCTGAAATAAAAGATAAGACGGAGCAAGTTGAGGAACTTGCAGCATTTACTCGTGGTTCTATATGTGATGTTGATAAAGAAATACAAAGGTGATTGTGAAATTTATTTTAAATAAATTATAATGTCTAATATTTAAATAAATTATAGTCTATCTTTCTATTTCTATTCTATTTATGTATTAATTTTTGATGTTTGCTTTTTAAGATTAAATAACCTAACTAAAACAGCACAAGAAGCTCTATCTAGACCGAGAATAGTACAAAAAGAAATTCATCCAGAACATCTACAGAAGGCCAAAGAAACTTTTCATGTATTAAAGAATGAACTTCACGGGCTTATACAATCATTATTTCCGAATTCTAGTGATCATATCATGGATGTTATGGGAGTGAGTATCTATTTACTATCTAACATCTATTGTCATTTTTACTTTTGATGAACATTTTATTTTTTTTTAAGTAGAAGAATATGATTTATGTGAATTATCTATATTGTTGAAATTGGTTTTAAAATCTCAATTAATTTTAATAAATTAGGTAACTATAGCTCATAAATTAAAATATAATTAAGTGTATTTGTTTGTTATAATATCTCACAGCAATGGATTAATTTAAATATATTAAACAAGCTGGAGAGTGTAAAAGTACTTTGTAGTCCATCGCTTGATTTTATCACAAATAGCTTGTTAGGGTTATTAGTTACTGCCTTTTAATACACTAATACTCTATCATATTATTTCTTTTTCAAGTAAAACATTTAAGTATTTTTAATATGTACACATAATATTATAATTTTTTTCACAGCAACTTATGCAAGAAAAGTTAAATGAAGAATCCAATGGTTATATACAAATCACTCGGGAAGATTATCAGATTGTTAAATTACTGCAAGATATGAATATTATTATAGCTAATCCATACAATAACATGGAAGTTAAAATTGCTCATTAAGAAGACATTGTTATGAAAGTAACATGATTTGTAAATAGTGCATTTAATGAAGTTTTAAATATTATCATATAAATAAATGCTTCTTTAGCAATGTTTTGGATTTTTATTTTGTAAATAAATATTGATTTATTTAACTAAAAAGCTATTTGATACAATATGGTAATTATAATGTTCAATAAAAAAAAAACATATCCTAATGCTTACTGTGTAAACTGTAAGATGTAGATGGTACTTGCATATTTGTAATCGTAAAGATAATAAGGTAGTTTGTGACGTTGTAGGGGGAAATCTCTGGATCTACTGAACCAATTTAGATGAAATTTGGTAAGAAGATATTTTGAGATCCTGGGAAAGGAAAAGAAAAACTTTATCCCGGAAATCATGCCTTAAGGGGGTGAAAATGGGGATGAAAATTTGTATGGGAAATCAACCTAGGGACGAACGTGAGCAAAGCGGGGGTGAGTCGCTAGTATTATATACTGAGACTGAGTGGAAATATCCAATATGTGTAATACACATAGGAAAATTTTACACTACACTTTTCACTAGCTGTTTTGTCACTAGTATCACGGTAATGTAATCCATAAATATTACCGTGCTAGTTTACAACAGTGTTATGTCAAAATGGTTTTATATAGGTCATTATTATATTATACTGGAAACCATTAGATATGATACAACCTAGTCAAAAATTGTACATATATGTATAAATAATACTTTTCTCATATGCTAGTGTGGCCATCTATAGCTGCGTTTCACTGGTCCCATGGAATTGACACTTATGTATACTTGTCGATACGTTTGGGCTGTTTTTAGTGACCCTACTCGCCGTGCCAGCGGTCGCGGGTTCGAGTCCGGCTGGGGGCATCCATTTGTGTGATGAGCACGAATGTTTGTACTCTAGTCATGTGTGTAGCGGGTCTCGTAGCTCATCATGGAACTAGATGTACTGTGTGTTAATGTCCTAACATATTATTTATCAACAATATTAACCGATAAAACGTTAAAAAAATAATAATGTATTGAATTTTTTTTCCAGTTATCATGACATACATTAACATTACTAGTGTGAAACTATTTGTGAAGGTACAAAATGTATTTGGAGTGTGTAAAGTTCTTACTTGCCTCATCGTTATTGGTGGTGGCATATATGAACTAGCTAGAGGTAATTACAATCTGTTATATTTTTAATAATACTTTAATGCTTTATTTAGCTTTAAAAAAACCATTAAGTTAAGAATTGGTCTTGAAAGATTGATGTTTTAACCGATTTTAAATTAAAAGAGGTTCAAGTCTTTTTTTGTGTACAAGTTAAACGATGATTTCGCCGATTTTAATAGATTTTGACCGCCTTCAAAAAGGTTTTTATGTGTATGTTAGCCTATTAGGCAATATCTTCGCCAAAAGTAAAAAATAAATATCTTAAGGTATAAGTCGCACATCAACTTTAACAAAATTTCATCTTTAAGGGTGGTATATTATTATATTTAAGCGATTTTAAAGTCGGTGCTCTCTTTCTAGTAAAGCTATCCCTCGATCACTCTTGCACTTTAATTTGAGACAAATAATGCTATAGAATGGAAACGATGTGACGATGGAACAAGGAGGCACTTTCAAATCATCAAGACTCAAGCGTAAATATTTGGACAATTGTTAATTTATTTACAAATTTAAATGATTACAGGCAACACTGAAAATTTGAGTAAAGGTTTTGAGGGCAGTGCGACGACCGCTGGGAGTGTTGCCCTCGCATTATACTCTGGATTGTGGGCTTACGATGGCTGGAATAGTGTAACTGTTGTTACGGAAGAAATTATTAATCCAAGCATGTAAGTTAACTTTTAATTATTATATGTAAGTCTTCGATCATTTGATTAAAAAAAAAAACAGGTCATATTTGATAGTATATTTTCTATTCACTATAATCTAACTTAAGTATGTAAGTACTTAAATAATAAAAAAAAATATTTAACTGCTTGACTTGAATTAGAGGACGCAAAATCAAAAAACACATACAAATTGTTGTAGATTTACTTACCTTGCTTGCTAGATAAAATGAAAATAATAAGGACAAATTTCTTAAAGATAGTATACTTATCCATACATATAATAAAATTGTAACTAAGCCGAATCTGTACATCAAATATTTTTTGGAAAATTTTATAGAAATAAGCATGATTATTGATACAGAGGTCGAATCTATACTTTTTAGAATTTTTGTCTGTCTGTGTGTCTATCTGTCTGTTTGTCTGTTACCCCATCACAGAAAAACCACTGGAGGGATTTTGATGAAATTTGGTATGGTGATAGCTGGTTATTCGGGTCAACATATAGGATACTTTTTACCGCGGGAAAATGTCTCATTTCTGAGAGAAAAAAATACAAAATCTGCAATGTAAGAGTATACTAATATGTAAAACCTAAGATTTTGTTTTTCGTTCATCTGAGCCGCGGGCAATGCTAGTAATCTCATAATATTATATGTAAATATGAAAGATGTGTATAGATGTTTGTAACTCAATCACAAACTGTTTCTGAATTCACATGAACTACTTTAGATATTATTAGGTATTGCGTTCCCTTTCAAGATTATTTCTAAACTTATCAAAAGATGGCGCTATCTAAGAACAATATTATAAATATACTGTTTTCATCCAGACAAAGCCCCTTATAAATTAGGACTTATATACTAAATATATATTTTTTAAAACAAAGTGACAATAATTGTTTTTTTTACTCCCACAGCAATGTTCCACTCAGTATTTCAATAGCAGTACCCCTCATAACTGGACTATACGTGTTCATGAATGTAGCGTACATGTCGGTACTGACGTATACAGAAATGGTGTCGGTACCAGCGGTGGCTGTTACATTCGGTGCACGAGTACTGGGACCCGCCAGCTTTATTATACCGCTTGGTGTTGCCATAGCAACGTTCGGGTGTGCTATGAGCGTGCAATTTGGTATTACCAGGTGAGAAATCTATTATATATTTTTTTTAAGATTTTGAAGTGAAACTTTAGAATCGTTGGTATTTGAAACTCGATGAAACGAAAATGCGACACTAGAAAGAGACAAACACATCAATATATAGGATTAAGCCGGCGAGAGAATGAGATTGAATACATCACACACTATTATGATTTGTTATTGTCTAACAAATGGTATTTAATATTATACTCTTTCCTTAAATGATAAATATATGATTTTATAGAAATAAAAGTATGATTGTAATATGTTAGAAATGTAATCATGCCTTATTTAATTATTGATTGGTTTTAATTGCGATATTTGCCAAAGAAGTTTTACTTCTACCGTGAGTGAATTGCATATGTATACACTTTTCATTTTTTTATTATCTGTCGTTCCATGGTTGTTAATAAAGGGCATTTTATTTTCTTTGTTTCATATAGAATAACATTATGATATAAGAGAATTGAAGAAGAAATAAATTTAACTTAAAATTATTTGGTTCATTTAAAATTATTACTGATTCTGTACCTTAGCAATTTGATAAAACAAATGCGATTGAATAATTGAGCATTACATAATATGTTTTATCTGTAATAATGCAAAACTTCACTCTTCATCTTACATACTTTCTTGTATGTAATTCATTATATCCACACGTTAGACTCAGTTTGCAGTGACCCTACTTGCTGTGCCAGCGATCGCGGGTTCGAGTCCCGCTGAGGGCATTCATATGTGTGATGACGAATATTTGTACTACAGTCATGGGTGTTTGTATTTATAATTTGTAAGTATTTAAAGATATATGTGTAGTGTATCAACTATCTGGTATCCAGGCAAATACAGGCCTCGTAGCTTACCATGGAATTAGATGGTGCTGTGTGTTAATGTACCAACATATTTATTATTTCCCTTATTTTTCAGGGTATGTTACACGGCGGCGCGCGGTGGTCACATGCTTGAACTTTTTTCATACGTTAATATGAAGAGATTGACCCCAGCTCCTGCTGTAGCTTTCCAGGTTAATTTACATAATATTTTCACTGAAAACTAAATTCAGAGAGACTGAAGTTTAGATTCCTATACTAATTATTCAATACGTAAATTAATTTCAGGTCTTCTAGGAAGTCGATAAAATATTATGAGGTATAGATATTTTTAACAACCTGTAGGTAATCGAACCCAAAATAAATTATTAACACTAGACGATTAGAATGAACTTTTATAGTTTCAACTCTAAGTCTAAACTAATCTAAGCTAAGACTAAGTCTAAACTTTTTATTTCTACTATATCTTTTCCATTATTTATTGTGAAGCATTTTGTTCACGTTTCTATTATAGATATATTTCTGATTAACATCTTATTTCTTTTGAGTTAATTTTTTTTTATTTCAGGCAATGTTAACTGCAATATTCATAATAGTTGGCAACATTAAAACGCTAATAGATTTTGCCAGTTGGTTCCTATGGTTTTTCTACGGGTTAGCCATGGTTGCCTTATTAGTGCTACGAAAAACTCGTGCTAATTTACTAAGGCCGTATAGAGTACCAACAGTTGTGCCTTGCTTTGTGTTGCTAGTGGCGATATTCCTCTCAATATTGCCAATAGTGCATGATCCATCTGTAAAATACCTAATGGCCATAGGGTTCATTTGTCTTGGCGTATGTGTATATACTGTATTTGTATATTACAAGAAAACGCCTACTATTTTGTTAAGTAAGTATATAGAGTAAAAATAAGTATGATTATAATAATGTGCTAACGCGTTCGCTTGGGAAACCGAGGTGAAGTGGGTTCAAATCCCGGGTCTCGCACCTCTGATATTTTCATGTGCGCATAATTTCTAACATGATTACCACTTATATTACGTTGAAGGAAAACATCGTGAGGAAACCTGTATGTCTGAGAGAACATAGTAACTTTTCGAAAGACATGTGAAGTCCGCCCGCACTTGTCTAGCGTGGGGTGGACTGTGGACCTGATCCCTCTCGTAATAAAGGGAGGCCCGTGCTCAGCAGTAGGATGTTAAATAGGGCTGAACTCTCATAATAATATAAGTTTTTTTTACTTAAATAAATAAAGATGTTTTTTAGTCAAATTAATGTTTTAAATATCATGTTTTTCCTTCCATTGCTTTAAACAGACAATAACTTTAAAACAGAAGAGTAAAATTAGAAAAAATATCCAATTTTTGTTTTTTTTACTTTTCAGATAAACTTACATTCCTAACTCAAGTGCTTTTCGAAAGTGTACCGCCTAGCAACCGTGAAGACTGATTAAATAATATATTAATTTTGTAAATATGTAACTCTAGTTTATAAGCAAATGCAAAAACAAAATAAATTATATACACTTTACCTTACCTCAATTATTTATTATCTGCCCCCTATTTGCTCAGAAAGATAATCCTCGTACAGCTTGTATTATAATTTTTAATTATACAAATATGGGCCTTGGTTTCGTTAACACGTGATAATAATGTTGAATTAGGCGAAAAAATAAGCATGTCGCAGTAATTAAATTAAGGTAAACCTATCTATCTATACATATAATAAAATTCTAAGTTGAATCTGTACATTAAATATTTTTTGGAAAATCTTATTGAAATAGACATTATTATCGATACAGAGGCCGAATCTATAGTTTTTAGAATTTTTGTCTGTCTGTCTGTTACCGCATCACAGAAAAACTACTGGAGGGATTTTGATGAAATTTGGTATGGTCATAGCTGGTTATCCGGGTCAACATATATGATACTTTTTACCGCAGGAAAATACCTCATTTCTGAGAAAAAATACAAAAACTGGTTGGAATAAAACCACGATGATAGGTACTATATATATTTTAGCAAGGTAACTTACTAAATAAGCCAAAAACTATTAAAAATAGCTTATTTTGAAAAAAAGTAACAATAGCGCTATCTTATTTGGTTTTTGGTTATCTGAACGCGGGCGGAGCCGCGGGCAATGCTAGCCTTCTATATAAATAAAAATGAATTCCCGAAATGTATGTACACGCATAACTTCCGATCGACTGCACCAAATTGGATAATTCTTTTTTTGTGTTTGTTATTGTCAGGACAAGCTTTGTATAGAAGAAAATTAAAAGAAATATTTTTTTTTACTAAAATAAGTTTTGTTTTTAAATGTCATGTTATAGAAAAGTGAGAGTGTTAGAGTTTTTATCCCGGAAATCATCCCGTAGGGGAGTGAGAATGGGGATGAAAGTTTGTATCGGGAAGCAAGCTAGGGACGAATCCGAGGTAAACGAGGTTGAGTCCCTAGTAAAAATATAAAACACATCAAAATAAGGATAATTTTGTGTATAGTAATAGGTTCATAAAATAGTTGTAAAATATTTTGTAAAAATTCTTATCTCCAAAACTTCTGGGTCTATAATTACAAAAAGTACAGACCAAAAGGCTTTATTCACACTACATATCTCACGTAATAAGAATTTACAAATATATTAGGTAATGAAAATTTAAGACCTATGCATATATATTAAATTTCAGATTTTTTTCATGGATTTCTTTTACGCATAAAGGCTATATTCTGTAACTGTCACAGAATAAGATATTTAAAACTGTCAACTCACACAAACAACAAAAATTTAATCGTTATAAATATCGAAATCGAATGAGTTGAAAAATTGAAATGCTCATATTATGTATTTAAAGATATTTTCTAACTTTTCATAAAAAATATATTTTTAAATAATATTTGCTTTTAATATTTTCCATTTACAACAATTATAAAATTTTTATATTTGCGATATTAAAATCGATTATTTTTTGATTACAGCAACCGATTCTAACACTAGTAAACACTAAACAGAACAGGCGGCGCTTAGCCGACAGCCGTTTTCAATGTTATTTTATATGAAAAGGAAATAAATATAGAAAATTTATTAGTATCACGGTCTCAAAAACTACATATTCATCATGGCTTATCATTATGTTGTTACTGCTCAAAAGCCAACCGCGGTCACAGCATGCATAACAGGTAATTAAAGTTGGTATTTGTATGTTGAAGAGGTTAAGCCTAATAGTATATCAAAGTTATTTTAAGCCAATAAGATTATTTTTGTAATTGATGTCTGAAAATTTGCATTTTATATGCCTTTTAATTAATTCATAAATGGTTTGTGATGGATTTTAACATTGTCAACGTTAAAATTAAAATGTGTCCCATACAATTTAAGGTTTGTTCTGTGTACATTTTCTTTCGCAACGTTGTGTATATTTAATAATATAAATGTTATGATAATGCATGTTAAGTTTAAAAATGTATAGATTAGGCCAAAATATAATCTAAAAATATCAGAAAATCATTCCTATAATTTTAGGAAACTTTACATCACCCACGGATCTAAATTTGCTGGTAGCAAAGGTATCTCGTTTAGAAATGTACCTTGTGACTCCAGAAGGACTCCGACCTATGAAAGAAGTTGGTTTATATGGCAGAGTGGCTAAGATGAAATTATTTAGACCTCCAGTAAGTGATAATATTTATTTATATCATTATGATGATGTAATTTGTTTTGAAGCTATATTCAATGATTTATTTTGAATTTCAGTATGAAAACAAAGATTTAGTATTCATTTTAACTGCCAGATATAATGCAATGATATTAGAATGGAGGACAGGTAGTAACGGTGAATTGGAAGTGGTTACCAGAGCACATGGCAATATTTCTGATAGAATCGGAAAGCCTTCAGAGAATGGCATCCTTGCTGTGATTGATCCACAAGCTCGAGTGATTGGTTTGAGGCTATATGATGGATTATTTAAAATTATACCTTTAGATAAGGATTCTACAGAGCTAAAAGCTGCTAGTTTAAGGTGTGTATACATTTACATATATATTTTTTTTCAAATTTAATATTTACTAGCATTGCCCGCGGCTCCGCCCGCGTTCAGATGACCAAAAACTAAATTCTTAGGTGTTACATATTAGTATACTCTTACATTGCAGTTTTTGTATTTTTCCTCAGAAATAAGATATTTTCCCGCGGTAAAAAGTATCCTAGGATCGCGCGCTACATCGCCCGGTTTATATAGCTTGAGCAGGCGGTCGAGCGATGCGGGGCAGAGGGGATGGACTCGCCGTAGGCATCTCAATGCTCGCCAAGCATTAAAAATGTTTCGCTACTAATTACTTCTAACAACGATATCTCAAAAACTATTCATCTGATTGATTTAGTGTAAAGAGCAATTTTAATCTGCATTAATTTTCTAGTACATTACTTAACTGTATCTTTGCTAGTTTACGCGGCGTTCGCGTGGAAAGTTCGGCGAGATTTTTTGCGACCTCTTCAACATTTGTCGCCGTATTTCAGCTAATTTTTTATAATAAGTATAGATTCTTGCACAATATAGTGTAATAATGATGATATATATTGATAATTTACATACCTATATGGAGAATGGGTTCTGAATATGCGAATTTGTAAAAACTTATTTGAAATGGAAGAGTAGCTAAAGCAAAATATATAGCATGTAAAAACTCAATAAATTTTGGTTTCAGATTGGAAGAATTAAATGTATATGATTTAGAATTCTTATATGGCTGTTCTAATCCTACTTTAATTTTAATTCATCAAGATTGTAATGGAAGGCATATAAAGGTATGAAAACAATATTTTTTAATTGCCATGTATAATATTTAGGACATAATATAAGTCAAATAAAAATATATACTTTATTCAAATAGACTGTAAAATTTATGTTTTTAAATTCAATGTCGGTATGTAAGTCTGCTGAGAAGAGTCGGTGAGAAACTCAACAGTTGCTCTTTTAAAACATAATTTTAATTTATTATATTGAAATACAATATTTTGTTCTCATCATACCAGAGTATCAACTATTAATAATCCTACACATTTATATCGGTAAGTATTTTGCAATGCAATAATTATTGAAAGGCAGTTAAGTTAAACTTTTTCTACAAGTAACATTTATTGTTTTTATTTTTAAAAAGGCCATATAGATTGAAAACTTATTTTGATAAAAAATAACAATAATATTATTTGGTTTACTCAATAATATATTTTTAATTTTTGGCTTAAATTGTTTGTCCATATTAGTTTTTTTTTGTGTCACACAGGTGTAATTTTTAATGAAACACATATAATATTACTATAATGTATGACCATATGCACATACATATATTAGAACTAGCAATACCCGTTGCTTCGCCCGCGATCAAACTTCCGATATAAACATCAGTTTTACAATAATGTAAGTCTGCCCGATTTGTTGACATTTATGATTATTGCTCCTCTCCCTTGGGCAGTAAGCATGTCATATAGCCTATAGCCTTTCTCAATAAACTGGCTCTCTAATGGTAAAAAATTTACAAATCAGATTAAAATATTAATGTAGAGTTTTGAATAATCCAATCATTTCTGTTGCAGACACATGAAATAAATTTAAGGGATAAGGAATTTACGAAAGTGCCATGGAAGCAAGACAATGTTGAAACAGAGGCTTCAATACTAATTCCTGTGCCCAGTCCATTAGGTAAAACATTTTTGATCAAAAATTATAATAAAATTAGTGACTTTCACTCGCTTCGCTCGGGTTCGTCCCTAGTTGAGCTTTAATGATTAGTATGGAATCGGGCCAAGTTTAGTTATTGAGTCTTTCTGTATAGTAAGTCTCAGTAACAGCCCGAAGTTGGGAAATTGGCGGTGTTTCACCCCCGTGCCTCGGAGAGCACGTAAAGCCGTCGGTCCTGCGCCTTAACTCTCGCCGGCCGGGTCGAGTGGTCATCCCACCGGAGTATGAGAGTGATAGGAATAGAGAGTGCACTTGTGTCTACGCGTACACTTGAGCACTATAATATCTCCTGCGCAGTTGGCTAATCTCAATGAGATTGGCCGCCGTAGCCGGAATCGGCTAGGAGAACATCACTCACATCAGTATGGAATAGATAGACTATGTATTATATATATACAAAGGTATGACGAGTTGTTGTTGGTTGTATTATAACGTGTTTTCTCGCGAGAATGAGGTAATTTCCCGCGGTTAAAAGTAGCCTATGTCACTCCAGCGCTCAAACTATCTCCTCACAAAGCCCTCTGTTTTGACATGAACACACTTTCACATTTATAATATTAGCACCTGCAGGTAAATTCCGAAGAAATTAGTTAAATTTCTAAGAAAATAATTATTTTTCTAAGAAATCTATTGTTAACTATAACGCCGGCGTGTCCGCGGTCGTTGAGGGAATATTATGGATAAAAATAATTGGTTGCTTAGCATTATAATAATCATACAAATATATATGCAGTAAAATAAAAACTATTTTATTACCCTTGTATGAAAATAAATATGACAATATGTTTTTTAGGTGGTGCTATTGTAATAGGACAAGAATCAATAGTGTATCATGATGGACAAAGCTATGTGGCAGTTGCACCCCCACAGATAAAGGTAAAATATATTGCTGATAATAATAATTTAGATTCTAGACCATTGTAGTTTTCCAATTACAGCACTAAAGCGCATTATGCGGCATAATGCTCAACTTCTAATGTGTCAACTACAGCAACGCTCTGCGCAATCGAGAACTTTGAAAAGTACTGCTTTCACGTGACCAACTCACAAGAAGTGTTTGTTCGCGTTGTTCGTGTTTGTGTGCCAAAGTGCGGTGTTAAATTGTAATTGGAAAACAGAGCATTGAATAAGAAAGATACTTTTTATTCTGTTGTGTTCTCTTCTGATTATAGTTCAATATTTTATATTTTAATATTATTAATCTTATCAATACTAAGACTACCAACTTACCTTTGTTTCGCTCAAGTGCATCCCTAGGTATGTTTTATGTATTAAAGTATAACAAATAGTGAAATGAAATAAAAAATATAATTAAAATTACAAAACGATTATTCAATATTTATTTTATTGAATTAGATTTTGTTAACAATTTCATGGGTTTTGATTTTTTTGTGCAAGCCGAGCCCTAAGTCCTTTTGTGAGCCCTAATTCTTTTTCTGAAGTAAAAGTTGCGTAAATTATTATTTATAACATCAGATATCTTCCAGTGAAAGTCCCGTCAAAATCGGTCCAGCCTTTTCAGAGTTTAGCTGGAAAAAACAGATTTAAAAAATTTTATCTTATAAGTACTGTATATACTTTCATGTGCTTTTATTGTTAGTACAAAAATTTTTGACATTATAAACAGATACTTCAATTTTTTTATTTGTAGTTTAGATACTATGATCTATAGTCCTAAAACATTAAAAGAAAAAATATGAGAATAATTTTATAAGATAGACATCGATCAAAAATGTACTAGATATACTCGTGCAATCAGCGACAACAACAGCCCTCACCGAATGAGCGCTCATTTGAACATTTGTGCTCGCTTTTATGTCTAATTTTTTGTGAAAACAACTTTAAGCATTGCATTTAAGGTTCACTTTAAACTGTCGTATATTTATTTCAACTAGAACTAACCTAAACACAATTGGTGACAATTTTAAGAGAACTATTGCATTGGATTGTGTATTTCTCTTCATGTTTTTTTTAGTTAACACCAATAAATTGTTACTGTCGAGTGGATACACGTGGTCTGATGTACTTGTTGGGGGACATCGCAGGACGGCTATTCATGTTGCTCCTGGAGTTGCAGGAGAAGATGGACGGCACTCAGGCTGTCAAGGATCTGAAAGTGGAATTGTTGGGTACGCACACTTTGTTATGTTTTGTTTAGATTTGTAGTTCTTTCACTCTTTAGGGTTGGTTTTTGTATTGGTATTAAAAAGGGCTGAATACATACATACAATAGGGAATATGTATGTGATTTATGTAAAAGTGAAATATTTTCCTTTATAATCTTTATTGCTTTTGAATTAAGCCTATATTAATATTTTTTTAATGTTATTTCTTTTTGAGAAAATTATTATATAAAAAATGCAAAAACAGATGCGAAATTCAAAGTAATTGAAACGTACATCATTGGTCAGACTGAATATGACGTCAGAGTATATCATAACAGAGCGATTAGCGATTTTGTCGCTACAAATTGATGAACGGTATGATATACATATATATATATATATATATATATATATATATATATATATATACATATATACATATTTAATTTTTTATACTAGTTTTTGGAGCTGGATATTTTGTTTACAATCATATAACGATGTAAACTATTGTATAAAAATTTAAAAAGAAATCGTTGCATATTCCCTATTCCAATGTTTAGACGACTAGTTTGGCTCAGTTTGTAGTGACCCTACTTGTTGTGTCAGCGATCGCGGGTTCGAGTCCCGCTGGGGGCATTCATTTGTGTGGTGAGCATGAATGCTTGTATTCTAGTCAGCGGTGTTTATATTTATAATATGTATGTATTTAAAAGTTATATATGCTTAGTGTATCAACTATAGTACCTGGGCGACCGAGCTTCGGAGTTTTTGGCCAAAGAAACATTAAAAAAAAACAAACTAAAAATTTGAATAAGTACAAAAAAAACAAAAGTAAAAACTTTTTATCCGACCGGAATACGAACCCTGACACCTGTGGTTGTCAAACTTGCGCTTTGGCCGCTTGACTACGATGCTTATGCCCTAGTGTGCGAAATAACGACCATATTTTGCGTGGAATAATGCGAAACAAAACCGCATGAAATCTCGAAAACACGCGTGTTTCCAGACATAAAACGAATCTAGATCGATTTATCGCCCCCGAAACCCCCTGCGTACTAAATTTCGTGAAAATCGTTGGAGTGGTTTCCGAAATTCATATTATATACATATATAGAAATATATACAAGAATTGCTCGTTTAAATATATTAGATAGATAAATAGATAATACAGTAGTAGTAACATAGGCCTCATAGCTTACCATGGAACTGGATGGTGCTGTGTGTTAATGTCCTGACTTATTTATTCAATGTGTGTCCCACAGGCGACATCCCGATCCCGGAGTGCATGACGTACCTGGACAACGGCGTGGTGTTCGTGGGCTCGCGGTTGGGCGACTCGGCGCTGGTGCGGCTGTCGGCGGCGCGCGACGACGCCGCGCAGTACGTGCTGCCCATGGAGAGCTTCACCAGCCTCGCGCCCATCGTGGACATGTGCGTCGTGGACCTCGAGCGGCAGGGGCAGAACCAGCTGATCACTTGCTCCGGTTGGTGGTGGCCATTTAGTTTTTGTTTTATGAGAATACTAGCGACTCACCCTCGCTTCGTTCGGGTTCGTCCCTACGTACGTTTTAGTTTTTTTGAGCGGAAACCTAATTATTTTATTTATAGTCTGCGCTTATATTACGTATAACGAAGCCTTTGCCATAGTATGGAATGAATTGTAAAACCATAACCTGAAATACAGGTTGTTAACCTAGTTCATGTAGGTTCCAAATTGTATTGTGTCAATTATTTTGTATAAATATTATATAACTTTGTAAAAGTATTTCAATAAAATTATTATTTTTTATAATAAAACAGGCGCATTCAAAATGGGTTCGTTGCGTATAATCCGCAACGGTATCGGCATCCAGGAGCAGGCGTCCATCGACCTGCCCGGCATCAAGGGCATGTGGGCGCTCACCCTCGCGCGTGACTCCACGCACCACGACACGCTCGTGCTCGCCTTCGTGGGGCAGACCAGGTAATACTACACTATATTGTGTTACCGTTACACTATATTGTGTTGCACTTCACTATACTTTCTTACACTACACGTTATACTATATTTGAGTGTTTCGTCGGCTCTTCTTAGTAGAACTGTTTTCCGAGCCGGTAGTAGCTTTCTTACGGATTAATATACTGAAGCTCTTTAGATTAAATTGATGATTCAAAAGCGTTTGTAATAGGTCCAATTGAATAAGTCTAAATCAAAGTTTAATTTCATTTCATATGCTACACTACACTATACACTACTAAGCTACACTATATCCTGCACTACACACTGCACTACGCTACATTCATAGAAAAGATTATAGTGTATTATTTACATATAAGTTAACGTTTTTTTTTATTTCCTACCATCAACAGAGTATTAACTTTAAACGGAGAGGAAGTAGAAGAGACTGAAATAAAAGGCTTCGTTTCCGATCGCCAGACATTCTTTACTGGCAACGTTTGCCACGATCAACTCATACAAGTAAGTTTACATTCATATATATATATATATATATATATATATATATATATATATATATATATATATATATATATATATATATTGTTTACAGGAAAAGCAACAAAATCTCTTAAATCCTTAAATATTTTTTTTTTAGTATTGACCGAACTGATTGTCCCGCAATCTTATTGCGGCGCCACTCGCGCTAACTTCACTCCAATCAACATAGATCATTGTATGGAACACAATATAAGTTATATGTTGTTGTATTTCAGGTGACGGACGAGGGTATAAGGCTGGTGGCACGCGTGGCGGACGAGGCGGGGTCGGCGTGGGCGCTGGCGGCGCAGTGGGCGGTGGGCGGCGCGCGCGGCGTGTCCGTCGTGGCGTGCTCCGACACGCGCGCCGTGGCCGCCGCCGGCCCGCGCATATACCTCGTGGCGATCGGGGATAGGGAGCTTACGTTGTTGTCGTGAGTTACTGAGTTATTTATATATATGTTTATTCAACTATATAATATGTATATGTATAGACTTCTTTGATTTCCGATAGCAATGTTGTAGCGCAAATTAAGAGATTTATTGATATTCGATTTTTCTCTTTAGAGTTTTTTTAAAATTCAATGTGTTTATAGATTATTAGTGTTGTATAAACAAAACTAATCCACTTATGCAAAATAATCTAAAAAATACAACAAAGGAATATTTATTGTAAAGCATAAACTGTGGATGCCGTATAGTCCATGATGAACAGGAAAATATACTTTTTATCATGTTTTAAATAGTAGAATATGTATACAGTATAGTATGTATGTGTGTCTGTGTCACTACTTTTATTATGTGTATACACAAATGTGTATGTATGTATGTTTGTTTGTTGCAGGTCGGTGTGCATGGAGGAGGAGGTGGCGTGCCTGGACCTGGGCCCGGGCGGCGACGCGGCGCTGCTGGGCGTGGGCCTGTGGACGGACATCAGCGTGCGAGTGCTGCGGCTGCCCGACCTCACTGCGCTGCACACAGAGCGGCTGTCCGGCGGTTAGTGACGTGTGTTGTCATGACACGTCACGCGTATCACGTCACATGTGGCTAATGTCAATGCGTCACGACTGTCGTGTCATGTCATGTGTAGCACGCTTCGGCGCGCAAATCGAAAATTAAAAGACATTAATTTGATTAAATTGACGGTAGCTGCATACTTACAAACAAACTGTACATTACTAGAAATTCGAACAGTGTTTTTTAAACCACCTATTCCTCCACAGAAATCATCCCCCGTTCTCTGTTGATCTGCGTGTTGGAGGGTGTGTGCTACTTACTGTGCGCCCTCGGGGATGGCTCCATGTTCTACTTCACCGTGGACCAGGAAACTGGCGTTCTCACCAACAAAAAGAAAGTCACCCTCGGTACACAGCCCACCGTCCTTAGGAGTTTTAGGTGAATAACATTTGCTTATATAATCTATACAGATAAATAAAATTGAAGTGTCTGTTTGTAATGTCAAAATAACAGCGTTTTACTAAATGCATATCAAATTATATACGGTACTTATAAGAAAAACACAATGTTTTAAATTTTTGTCTGTCTGTTTGTTTGTTCTGGACAATCTCTGAAACGACTGGACTGATTTTGACGGGACTTTCACTGGAAGATAGCTGATGTTATAGGGAATAAAACAGGCTACTTTTTTTTAGAAAAAGAATTAGGGTTTTGCTCAAAAAAATTAAAACGTACCAATACTAATATTATAAAGAGGTAATGTTTGTGAGTTTGTGACGTTGTACGGGGTAATCTCTGGATCTACTGAATCGATTTAGATGTAATTTGGTAAGAAGATAGTTTGAGACCCTGCGAAGGACATAGGATACTTTTTATCCCAGAAATCTTCCCTTAAATGTGGGTGAAAATGGGGATGAAAGTTTCTATTGGGGGGCAAGCAAGCAAGTAATTATCAAAAGTGTAAATAATTGTCCATAAAACAGGTCGCTGTCAACGACGAACATCTTCGCGTGCTCGGACCGGCCCACCGTGATCTTCTCGTCCAACCACAAACTGGTGTTCTCCAACGTGAACCTCAAGGAGGTTACGCATATGTGCTCGCTGAACGCGCTCGCGTACCCCGACAGGTATAATTTATACATATCTATATGTATAATAAAATTGTAACTAAGCCAAATCTGTATATTAAATATTTTTTGGAAAATCTTATTGAAATAAACATCATTATATGGAGGTCGAATTTATAGTTTTTAGATTTTCCGTCTGTCTGTTTGTCTGTGACCGTATTACGAGAAAACCACTGGACAGATTTTCTAGAAATTTGGTATGATGATAAGCTGGTTATCCGGGTCAACATATAATTTTTACTGCAGGAAAGTACCTCATCTCATCTCTGAGAAATCTATACTAAACGTTAAATTGTAACTAGAGTCGAACTAGGGCGAAGCGAGGGTGAGTCGCTAGTATATAAATATAAAATGGGACATTTATACACTGGATCATCTAGTTCCATGAGAAGCTCTTGTAGCTTATTTATTTATTTATTTATTAGATTCACCAGTGGTTAGTTACAATAATACAATTTATTTTATACGAGTACAATTTTTTTATTTTTTTATAGCTAATTGCACTACCTTTTAAGGTATTCCCATTGGGGGCATTCATTTGTGTGATGAGCACAAATGTTTGTACTCCAGTCATGAGTGTTTATATTTATAATATGTATATATTTAAAGATATACATGTGTAGTGTATCCATAACACAAGCCTCGAAGCTTACCATGGAACTAGATGATGCTGTGTGATAATGTCCCAACATATTTATTTATTCTATACACTCACACTCGTGTGTCCAACAGCCTGGCGCTGGCGACGGACAGCACGGTGACCATCGGCACCATAGACGAGATCCAGAAGCTGCACATCCGCACCGTGCCGCTGGGCGAGACGCCGCGACGCATCGCCTACCAGGAGGCCTCGCAGGTACTATAAAGTGACGAAAATAAACACTAACGATAGATAAATACTATGAATGAAAAGAAAAATAACAAAAAGACATGCAAAGGCGGTCTCATTGCTATGAGCAATCTCTTACAGAACCTTTGGTGAAAGGATTAATGGAACCATAGACAGGACGGTACAATTAATACTAAATACACAATAATAAACTATGTTTACAAACATAAATACATACATACATATACATAAGTTATGTTTTGGAAGCAGCCAGGGGATGCAAAGAAATGCAAATTAACTAAAAATTAATTTATTGACTAAAATTTCTTACTACTAAAATGCATGTCGATCGATGTTAGATCAAATCAGTGAAGATGCAGCCAAGTAATGCCTTTTATACTACATTATTGTAGGAAGTTGTGACATTGACATTGATGAAATGTAGGTGGCTGCTGCGCTTGCACTTGTGCCTGACCTTGTCTTGTTTTGTCGTCGCTGCGCGAGGTTTGTAGAGCAAAGCTGATGCGACGATTCGAGCTCCGTAACACATACATAAATACATACTTACATGTAACATATACATATATACTAAATAGCTAAAAAGATATACTACAACTACATACTAAATACCTCATTGGAATTCTATTATGTATATGATGCAAATAATGTTTATAAACGTTTTCGATAAAATTTAAATACACATACATACATACATATATGTATGTACATTAAGTATGCTTGTGCGCGGTACGGCTTTTATTTTGAAGTGAACGTTGTTTGGATCGATGAAACGAAAATGCGACACGAGAAAGAGACAACATATAAATATATAGGATTAAGCCGGCGAGAGAATTAGATAGAATAACATTACACAGGAAGAGAAAAATAATACTGAATAACATGTTATGTATTATATGTTAAATAAAATATAAAATAACTTTTACACGTAGTAAAAAAAACTAAACCTTACAATTATCCTACTCCTGATACCTATATATTCATCTCATTCTCTCGTTTGTTACTTTTCTGAAGTTTCACTTCTACAGTGTGTGAAATGAAATGAATTTTATTTATTTAGTAACAATTCTTATAAGTATACAGTAAAAAACAATGGCTACAATGATACTGCAAAAGTATAAACTGCCAACTGTGAATTGCACACACACGCACATTTTTTTGAAATTGTTGTTACCGTGACATTTCGGGCTTTGTAATAGTGGACATTTGGTTTTTTTAAATCATTGAGAATATATTTACTACCAAAATTCCGCAGGTGTACATGTGTGGTGACAGATACATACACGCGTGACGATTTTTTTTAGTTGTTGGTAAAATTCACTATGAAGGTCTCGTGGATATACTCACGTGACAGTGATGAGATTGGTGATAGGTTAGGTGGGGACGTTTTATTATTATTTTATTTTAATCTGAGAAACTCGCCATGAAAGCCTCGTCACATGATGGGCTTCATAGTAGAAACCCTTAATTTTTTTCTTAGGTAAACTCATTTTGGTCATACAGTGAAAGAGGTATGTGAGTAAATATAGTTATTTTGCAATCACAAACGGACGATTAAATTTTATTTATATGTATAGATTGATTTATTAATTAATATGTTTGTTTTGTAGCCATCAATCAAAAAAGTACTAGATACACAATCCTATCCAAAAGTTTTCTTAAAACTGTCACCAATTGTGGTTAGGTAATTATGTCAGTTGAAATAAATATACGACAATGTAAATTGAATCTTAAATGCAATTAGAGTTGTTTTCATAAAAAAAAACGCGCTCTAATATTCAAATGAGCCCTCATTCAGTGATGTCATTTTTTGTCGCTGATTGTGTATCTAGTACTTTGATCGATATAAGTAGCCTATCAATTTGTGTGTATATAATACCCTAAGAAAATCCTGCAGTTTTTAATATCTCCAGTGTTTAGTGGTTCACTCTAGTATAATATGTGGCAATCACAATAGACCAGGAATGGTCGCAGTGACACGATATAGCCGCTAAAATGAAATAAAAAAAGTGTATATAATATTAATTTATTTTTATGTATTTTTAAATCCACCAGTGATAATTATATCAATACAATATTGTTTAGTAAAAATAAATACAGTGTAGCTTCATTATAAATGTATTATCTTTTAAGGCAGATACAGCATGCAATTATTAGTAAGTATAATAAATCATTGGAAGTTTATAAAATGTATATAATATATCGCGACAGACATTCGGCGTGATTACAATGCGCGTGGACAAGCTGGAGTGGTCGCTGGGCGCGGGCGGCGGCGCGGGCGCGGGCGGCGCCGTGGCCGTGCGCAGCAGCGCGTCCACCGCCGCGCCCGCCAGCAGCGCCGCGCCGCCGCCCGCGCCCAAGCACGCGCCGCCGCACGCCGACGTCGAGGTGCACAACCTGCTCATCATAGATCAGCACACCTTCGAAGGTATCTAGTTTACTACATTACTGGTCATTGTTTCATATAGTTGATGTACAAGTGTTTTATTTGTGATCGAAGTTAATTATTTGCTTAAAACGCATTGATACATAAAAACATGTATATACATTTTCTAACAATTCGATTGTCTGATTATTTTGATAATGTCATTTGTAATGAAGAAGAACGGTTTGGTTTAAAAGGTTAGTTTTCATTATATTGAGCATAAAACCCATATAGTATTGTATATCCATTGATTTTAGCAGGAATGTTGCCAAATGCAAGGGTTGTCAAAAATGTCATGGCAAAACCTAGAATAATAGCACAAACAGCAAATCACGTCAATATTTTTGACTTTGACATTTATTTTGGCGGACTCCACCTATATAATTATTTAGTACTAGCGACCACCCTCGCTTCGCTCAGCTTCATCCGTAGGTACATTTTAAATTTTTTAAGCGGAACCCTAATTCTTTTACTGAAATAAAAGTAGCCTAAGTTATACCTTATAACATCAATTATCTGCCAGTAAAAGTCCCGTTAAAATTGGCCTAGCCGTTTTGGAGATAAGCCGTAACCAACAGACGGACAAACATTTTAAAAATTGTGTTTTTCTTATGAATACCGTATATAATTGTAAAACGCTGTTATTTTGGCATTACAAACAGACACGTTAATTTTATTTATCTGTATCGATGAGAACAAATCCTATCTAGTCCGTCCGTTCAATGTAATTGTTGAGTGTGACAGTTGAGTGTGCCCTGCAGTGCTGCACGCGCACCAGCTGCTGAACACGGAGTTCGCGATGTCGCTGGTGTCGTGCCGGCTGGCGGACGACCCCAACCACTACTACGCCGTGGGCACCGCGCTGCTCAACCCGGAGGAGTCCGAGCCCAAGCAGGTCAGTTTTTTTGAAAAAAAAAAGTTTTTTCTTAGCTTGGGGATAGAATTTGTAGCTTATAAAAAAAATTAGAAATTTTTATTTTTTATTTTTCTCAATATTTTGAGGTGGCTCACTGATAATTAATTTAAATTTTTAGATTTGAAAAAAAAAATTGTCTATTTATTTAGATGTTTTGTTCCCGACGTTTCCAATGCTTTACGTTTACAGTAATCAAGGTCACGGGTGAGACTAAGGTCTTAGACGTCTCAATGGTATTATATACATGTTACTTAAATTTCTAGGCACTGTCTGTAACATGTATATAACACCTTTGAGATGTCTAAAACCTTAATCTCTCCTGTCACCATGATTGCTGTTAAGTACACAAAACGTCGGGAACTAAAAATCAAACCACGTCACATTTTCATGTGCGAATTATTTCTAACACGATTACCACTTACCTTACGGTGAAAGAAAACATCGTGAGGAAACCTGCGTGTCTGAGAAAACCTAGCAAGTTTTCGAAAGACATGTGAAGTCCGCCCGCACTTGGCCAGCGTGGTGAACTATGGCCTGATCGCCCTCGTACTGAAGAGCCCGTGCCCAGCAGTGGGACGTTAAAAAGGCCTGAATAATAAATAATAATAATATTAACAGGGCAGGATCCTCATTTTCCACTGGCACGAGGGCAAGCTGACGCTGGTGGCCGAGAAAGAGATACGAGGCGGGTGCTTCTCTCTCGTGGAATTCAACGGCAAGCTGCTCGCTTCCATCAACAGTACAGTGAGTCTTATAATAATGCTAATAAACAATAATTATATAAATAAATAAAATGAATCACCGAAATGTATGTACACGCATAACTTCCGATCGGCTGCACCGAATTGGATAATTCTTTTTCTTCTGTGTTTGTTATTGTTAGGACATATTTTATATAGAGTAAAATTAAATAACATTTTTTTTAATAAAATAAGTTTTTTTAATCTCATGATATGAAAACTTAGTGAGTGAAATAGTTTTTATCCCGGAAATTATCCCTTAAAGGGGTGAGAATGGGGATGAAAGTTTGTATGAGGTAGCAAGCTAGGGATGAACCCGAGCCAAGCGAGGGTGTGTCGCTAGTTTCTAAAAGATATTACCATTCCTAACACACACTGTATTACATATTTGTATATATGTATTTATTCTTATATTATATATGGAATTATAGTGTGTATATTTATTTATCTATATATATAATAAAATTCTAACTAAATGGAATCTCTACATAATTATTTTTTTTGGAAAATCTTATTGAAATAATCATTATCGATACAGAGGCCGAATCTGCAGTTTTTAGGAGTTTTGTCTGTCTGTCTATTTGTGAACGCTTCACGAGAAAGCCACTGGACAGATTTTGATGAAATTTAGTATGATGATAGATGGTTATCTGGACCCATAGGATACTTTGTACTGCGGGAAAATATATAATCTCTGAGAAATCGATACTAAACCTTAAAACGTCGTTATATATTTTGACAGCTGATCTAGCAAGGCTTGTCAAAAAATTTGATTCTACGCAGTAATTTTTGGTTGCTGGTACCCTTTCAAATATGGAAAGTTTAAAGCGGCATTTTGGGCATATTTTACTTTTTTACTACCGAAACGGTAAAAAGCTGTTTTTTATTGTTATTATAATTTTTTTAATAATATTTTACGCTATACAGGTGAGACTGTTCGAGTGGACGTCAGAGAAGGAGCTGCGGCTGGAATGCAGCCATTTCAACAACATCGTGGCCCTCTACCTCAAGGTGAAGGGCGACTTCATCATAGTCGGGGACCTCATGCGCTCCATGTCCCTGCTGCAATATAAACAGGTAGCTTTTCCTTATTATTTATTTCATGTTTCTTATCCTCCTATATCTATTTCTATCCTATCTATATAAATAAAAATGAATCTTGCTAAGCGCAAAACTTAAGAACGGCTCGACCAATTCAGCTAATTTTTTTTTCGTATATTGCATGCATTTTTTAAATTTTTGTCTGTCTGTTTGTGCCGGATAATCTCTGAAACGGCTGGACTGATTTTGACGGGACTTTCACTGAATAGCTGATGTTATAACGAATAACATAGGCTACTTTTATTTTAGAAAAAGAATTAGGGTTCCGCTCAAAAAAATTAAAACGTACCTAGGGATGAACTCGAGCGAAGCGAGGGTGAGTCGCTAGTCATTTAATGATTGATAATTGAAAATTAATCTAGTCTTGAGGGCTAATATAAGATTACTTTATAGACTTTTTTAAACTAATTTGTTTATAGACTAAGAACCCAATTATAGGAAGTTTATTTTATACATATAAATGTTTTTTCAAACAGATGGAAGGTAGTTTCGAAGAAATCGCACGAGACTACAGTCCCAACTGGATGACAGCGCTCGAGATACTAGACGACGATACGTTCCTTGGGGCAGAGAACAGCTTCAATCTCTTTGTGTGCCAGAAAGACAGGTGTGGCTATGAAATATGTTGTTATAGTGTATCAAACATACAACATTATGTTTTCTGTGAGCGTAAACGATTGTAGAATATCGTTTTAGGAATCGATCAAAAAAGTACACAAGTACTAGATACACAATCCCATGCAAAAGTTCTCTTGAAACTGTCACCAATTGTATTTAGGTAATTATTCTAGTTGAAATAAATATACGACAATGTAAATTGAACCTTAAATGCAATGTTTAAAGTTGTTTTCACAAAAAAATTGTGACTCAGGCTCGCCGCTCGTCGTCGCCGCCACGGCGTCACGACGTGACAAGGAATGAATGGTTATCATGACGTAATTTAAAAAATACTTAAAAACCTTTCTTACTATGATTTCTCGACAAAATATCAGTATCTATTTTTCTAATACTATAAAGAGGAAAAGATTTTTTTTGTTTGTATCGAATAGGCTCCGAATAGTAATATATAACTATTCTCCGAAGCGTCAGTCGCTAGTTATAAATATAATATTATACGAATGGTATGTATGTGTCTTATATTGTGTGCAGCGCGGCGACTACGGACGAGGAGCGGCAGCAGATGGGGTACATGGGGCAGTTCCACCTCGGCGACATGGTCAACGTGATGCGGCGCGGCACGCTCGTGTCGCAGCTGGCCGACACCGCCGCGCCCGTCGCGCGCCCCGTGCTGCTCGCCACCGTCACCGGCGCCATCTGTGAGCACACGCACATGCACGCACATACGCACGCATAATAATGATGACCTTCTGAACTCAGCTACGTTGGCCCATGCGGGACTAGAACCCAGTGCCTTCGGATGTGCAGCCGTACATGCTAGCCACTAAACCATAGAAACTATAAGACACACACACATACACAACTAAGCTATCCAATCTATTGATGCGATTTGGAAAATTATTTTTCTATTTTTTCTTACTCTATTAAGAAAGGCCCGTTACAATCATTTATTACACAAAAACAAATAATTATTGGACCGTCAATTTTAGATGTAATAAAAGAGGTTATTCCATTTAGCCACCTGTAATAGGACAAGATGATGAACCAGAATGGATAATCGAAATCGCGTGTCCATTTGTCTAACTTAAATATAAACAAATAATATTTATAATAATTATTACCTATATAAAATATAACAAAATGTATTTTGCTATTAGTCATACTCGTAATCTTTTCTTTAACTCATATATATATATCTCGTTATTTCATTCCTCCTACGTATGCACAAAAATTGTTTGGTTTTTTAAAATAGAAGTATCATTTTTATACATGTTTTGACGAATTCAATAAATTAAAGGTTTTTTTTAATTCGTATAAGGATTAGATGTTGAAAATTTAATAACTTTATGCCCGATTTCACCAACAACCTATAAGCTACCACCTACGTATGGGATCCCTAGCTTAAAAGTCCCCTAAACTAGCCCCTAAATTAAATTTCGTTTTACGATCGTATTTAAGCCCATATTTCGAGCACCTAAATTTAGGGGGCCTTTTAATATTTAGGTGACCTCTAACTGTCGGTGAAACAGAAACTGTCCCCTAACAGCCCCTAACCATGCTTAGGGGATCCCTTAAACTTAGATGACGTTGGTGAAATCGGGCATTAGTCGTTCTAATATTTACAAATTATAAATGAATAATTAACATACTATAATAATTAACACTTAACAATTGTATCCATGCCAGGTCTCGTAGTACAACTACCACAGGAGCTGTTCGAGTTCCTCCAACAGCTGGAGGCGCGACTCTGCGAGACGATCAAGTCCGTGGGCAAGATCCCGCACGCGTTCTGGCGCTCCTTCAACACGGACATCAAGACGGAGCCCGCGGAGGGCTTCATCGATGGCGACCTCGTCGAGAGTTTTCTCGACCTCTCCAGAGACAAGCAGCAGGAGACCGTGCACAAGTTGCAGGTGAGCTCATAGTAACTATCACACTCATACCTACTCTTACAGGCAAACTGTTATAAACTCACACTCTTGTACAGTTAGACTCTTGTACTCTCACACTCATAGTCTTACACACCTAGACTCTTACTCACGTTTTCTCTTACACTATTATAGTCTCGCACTTTTAGGCTCTTATATTACAAGAGTTTAGGTAACTCATACATAGTCATACTTTTTCTCACTCGCTTACACTCGGAATATATCAACTCTTACTTACAATTTGTGTCATATGTACTAGCTTATGTGCATATTAACTGACACGAACGGTGAAGTGTAGAATTAACTCTATATTTGCAGACCTAATAACTAGTGTTTACATTATGTTATCTATATTTAATTCGACTCAAACAATACATAACATGACAACACATTTAGCTCAGTTTGTAGTGAACAGTTATACTTGCTGTACCAGCGGTCGCGGGTTCGAATCCCGCTGGGGGCATTCATTTGTGTGATGAGCAATACTCCAGTCATAGGTTTATATTTGTAATATGTATTAATGTAAAATTATATATGTGTAGTGTATCAACTATCTGGTATCCATAACACAAGCCTCGCAGCTTACCATGGAACTAAATGGTACTGTGTGTTAATGTACCAACATATTTATTTATTTATGTCATATTATATAGGTACAGTAACATTATAATAATTTAACTCGCAGATCGACGACGGCGGCGGCATGATGCGCGACGCGACAGTCGACGACATCATCAAGATAGTGGAGGACCTCACGAGGATACACTAGCTCCGACACACACTTAGTTTAATAAATACTTTACGTCTTCACAACACTCTTGTTATTTGTACATACAATACACACAGCGTGCTTAATTATATAAGGAAGAAATAATTAATTGTCCATATAAAAAATGTTTGCTGACAGCACGTTATTCATATGTTGGTTACATGCTAAAGTTATTAATAGGAGTTAGTCTTGTTAGTTTGTTCTTTTTTAACATTTAGTTATTGTAAGCAATTTTCGCGCTGGAACCGAATTTTTCGGGAATAAATATACCCTATATTTAGCCCTACAAATTCCTCTATCTTTCAGTGAAAGTCCTATTACATAAGTCGTTTCAAAGAGTATCCCGGACAAACAGAAAGATAAACAAAAATTTTAGAAAGGGTTGTTTGGATACTTGTATCATATAAATAACTATGTAGGTACTTGAGAAATATAGTTATTTTGAAATCACAGACAAACATTTTAATTTTATTTATAAGTATAGATGTTTAGATTTAATAATTTCTTGTCAGAAACCAAAATTATGGTTCTGCTTTTGGTAGTTTTTTTTATTTGTAACCTCTTGAAAGGCATCTAAAACGGTTTTAAATATTAAGTAACAATAGCAAGTTTCAATAATTTACTAAGTTGTTGATTTTCAATAATATTTTTCATACCTTTAAGCCCAGCATTTTAGTGTAAATATAAAAAAAAGGAATTTAATATTAATATTCAGTCTTTTAGTAACAATATTTTCTAAATCTTCATCATCATCATTTTCTAAACTATATATTTTGACATTATAAATTCAATGTCATTTCTAAAATAATATATTTATTAAAATTAATAACATATTTTATGTAAATAGAAATGGGTTTAAATATAAAGAAATAAATTTGATTTCATACTATAACATATCTAACTTTTATTGGTCACGGTGTTTGCGATAAGCCTTTACTATACCTGACGACACGTATGGCTTACTTTGTACTTTTTGTACACTTGCTGTCCCTATTAAAATCTCCAATAGAATCTAAATATATATTTAGTGATTAAATAAATATTTATTGGTTTCTATGTGGCTTTTGTCGCTTTTGATGAGATTCTACTGGAGTTTTTAAATTGGGGTGCCAGCGGCCGCGGGTTCGACTCCCGCTCGGGGCATTCATATGTGTGATTAGCACGAATGTTTGTACTTCAGTCATGGGTGATATATTTATAATATGTATGTATTTAAAGTTATATATATATATATATATATATATATATATATATATATATATATATATGTGTGTCATTATGGATATCAACTATCTGGTATCCATAACACAGCCTCGTAGCTTACCATAGAACTAGATGATGCTGTGTTAATGTCCCAACATATTTAATTTATTCATGTATATTATATGGTTAGTAAAGACTTGATCAACTCGATGTATATAAAAATAAAATAAAAAACGTAAACAGATTCCCATAATTTATTAAACATGACGTGATCACAGCATACAATAAAAATAATTAATTGATGATTCTCGACATTAAAATATCTTATTAACAAACAAATTAAAAAAAATAAGTGCGTGTAACCTTGTAAGGTTTACAATCGGTATCTTAAGTTTATGAGCACAGAATATGCGCAGATACAACGTATGTAAAGATCTTAAATTCGAAATGACAGCCAGATAAAAAAATATACCTTTTTCAATTTCATGTTATATGTACATTGTACATATATATACTTTTTATTATTTTATAGTATACAAACTTTTTTTAGAGATGACATTTCCTAGTATGTAAGGCAAGGATATAGATAGAAAGCTCTCGAAATTGCTCAGCTGAGGGCTGATAGTTGCGTGCTGGAAGCGAAAAACGTATAGTAAAGTTACAAATAAATTGATTTACTAAGAGTTACACGATTAGAAATTATAATTACTGAAAATGTCAAACACATACAAAAAAGGAGATTAAAAAGTCGATTGGATTGCTGTCCTTCTATCTCACTTTGTTATTCATATCTGAGAAAACCCCTAAAATCGATAGCTCTAACATACATCGTCTCTAAACCACAGTTCATTACAACGTTCCGGACACTTCTGTTAAGTTCTATCATAATCGTCACAATTGTTTAAAATGTTGTCTGTGGTGAAATGGTAGACCTATGTACTTCAAACGCCCTTAGACGTACTTATTCCATGAGGATATATTTTTTTTAATTTATAGAGGACCACCTATTCATTAACAAAAGAATTTTATACAAGGTATTCAAAGTCCTTTTATAAAATCCAAAATATATGGCGCATTATTTCTAAGATCTACACTGTAATGAATACATTCTAATTGCTATGAAATACCACACGTGCAATGAACATATGTATTTATAACAATAATAAACAAATTTCTTTTATATCAAGTAAATTATACAAATAAGTATCCATTCGATAAGTTTTTAAAAGTTATTACTCATAAATTTCACTATTTAGTCACTTATATTAAAAAAACTAATACAAAATTTGTTTAAAATCTCACAATTAACATATTATGTATAATAAAATAATGTTATGTGGTATCATCGTACATAGTTTTGTACATTTGTAACGATTTCGTTGTGATTATGTTAATTTTGTGACGTCATTTATATGATAACATTCAAGTAATAGGCGTAGCATAGAGTCAAATGTATACCTAAACTAAACATATACTATTTGTATAATATATGTATATGTATATATTTAATTCCATTACATTCTATCAATATATATGCATATTATGGAAATTATATAAATAACTAGCATTGTCCGCGTTCAGCTGACCAAAAACCAAATTCTTAGGTTTAACATATTGGTATACTCTTACATTGCAGTTTATGTATTTTTTCTCAGAAATGAGAAAGCCTGCGGTAAAAAGTATCATATATGTTGACCCGGATAACCAGCTATCACCATACCAAATTTCATCAAAATCCCTCCAGTGGTTTTTCTGTGATGCCGTAACAGACAGACAGACAAAAATTCTAAAAACTGTAGATTCGGCATCTGTATCGATAATAATGTTTATTTCAATAAGATTTCCAAAAAAATATTTAATGTACAGATTCGGCTTAGTTACAATTTTATTATATGTATAGATTTGTTTATATAATACTTCAATGGGTTGATTTGTCATTACATAGAAATAAAATTAACAATTAACATTAGATATTTAGATAAAAGCAGATATGATTGTTTGAACCAAGACTAATGAAACGATAACCTACATTTTGTGAGGTCGACTAAAATATCAATTTACATAATTTGTTAATTAATTTAACACAGTACAATATAGATAATAATATAAACAAGTAATTACGTGTAATAGTAAGTGTTAAAAGTAAAATTACGTACATTTTATTTTTAATTGAACAAACTCGGATTATTATTGATCTTGCATTCCACACAATATCGTCCGTACGACCTGCGCAGGCGCGTATCATTAGACAAAAAATTGGCCACTGGGGTCAAGATTTTGGAGACAAATTTATGGATTGTAATGTCGAAATATTAAAATATTTGGTCCATCACAGCAAAAAACCACCAATCGACAATGGCAGTAGTTGAATGTATGAAAATATCTATATAAACATAAAACTTGATAACACCATCGGAAACAAATCACATAATTTAATCAATTATATCTCTTAAAAAGATAATTCTTATATATAATATTACTGGAATTTCTATGTGTATATACAACACATTAAGATGGTAATTGAAAATTTTAATGATAAAGCTTCACAGTTGATTCCAAATTAAATTTCAGCAGAATAAAATAATATGTAATTTACTTAGCAATATATTTATAACTTATGGGTGATAAGAAAATAGCCACACTATCAGTAAAGGAAGTGTATTGATAAGGCCCCATTTCTGCCCTTAAATAACAAAAAAAATTATGTCATATAATTTGATCTTTACATATTCTGTAAGTAGGCTGTGTTCTTGATAAGAAAATATATTTATGAGATAAAAAAAACCACAATTAATACTACTTGTGAAATGCTAAATTTTGGTCTAATTGGTAATTGGACTAACATTTAATCAAAAATGAGACATTTTCAATAACATAGCCTTTTTTAAATGTGTAGAGCACAAGATGTAAGCACTGTAATTTTTGAATATATTATGTAGTAACATAAGGACATTAAAATAAAATAAAAAAGATTTTTATATGTGCTCTAAATTAAAAAAGTTAATGTTTCAGTGTCTCATTTTGAACGAAAATCCCTGTTAGACCAAAGTTTGGTGTCTCACAAATAGTATTAATTGTACATTTTTTCTCTCATAAATATACTTCCTTATCAGGCACACAGTCTAATTTCAAATATGTAAAGATAATATCAAATCGTATGACATAATTTTTTCATTATTCTGGGGCGGAAATGGGACCTTTTCGACACCCTTCCTTTATTAAGATTCTTTAAAAAAATTACTTGTTTTTTCAGCATAATTACAAAATGAGCAACAATTGGACTTAATCATTTACATATTACATAAATAGTATGTTAAGTTATTGTGTAAAAACCTACTTTCTATACTTATCGGCTTTATAATGCAAGAACCACATCAAGGCGAAGAGACAACTCGGAGGACTTTGTATGGGTCCAGGGGAATTGACCATTTCTTCTATTTCCGGAATAGTCTTTTCCACTACTTCTATTATTTCATCGTCAACACCTCCACCTAAAATCAATATATTTAGTGACATTATTACTAGAGACAAAACTTTGACATATAGCTATATGACACAAACAAAGAATTGCACATCACTATCTAATATTATAAATGTGAAAGTTTGTGAGGATGGATGGATGTTTGTTACTCGTTTACTCTAGAATGGTTGAATAGATCTGGGTGAAATTTATAACAGAGATAGATTATAGTATAGGGACGAAGTCAAAGCGAGGGTAAGTATTAGTAATGTTATAATTATGACATAAATAATAGGTATATTAAAAATTTAAATTTAAGATATTAATCACATTGATAAAATTAGCCTAGTTAATTTCATATAAATAGGCATAGTATACTTTAATTAAATAAGCAGTAAACATTATTTTTATTTACTCATATTATTTCACAGTAATTTATTATAAAAAATATTATTTACTGTACTACTTAATGAAAGTACATATCATAAAGTATAGCCAATGAGTTTGTAACAAGGTGATAATAAAATATAACAAAAAGTTATATAAAAGGTTCCATAATAATTATTATTTACTGTTCTAATAATAAATGTTTTTTCAAGTAAACTTTCACTAAAAAGATTCAGTGCTTACAGAAAGAATCAATTTTGTTTGTCATTTGTATAATATAATAAATTTTAAAATTACAAACCTGATAAATAAATACTATACCTTGCTCTGTCTTCATGTCATCTGTAACCTCACAATAGAAAAATGTCTGAAGTGCTCCTTGAACACCCACACCCGACCTGCATGCATAATTGATTCACTTTGATAAACTCTTGTTTACCATTACCCAAAGTGAATTAAACTATAATATAATAAGCTAAAAATAAAATTAAAAGAACAAAATCAGTTTAATTATAATGTCATGAACAGATTAGTGTCACCCACCTGTAAGAAGTTATTTTATGTAATTTATCTAAGGGCACATCATATCCACATTCTTCTAACACTTCCTCTTTGGCTATTTCTTCTACAGGTTTATTTTTATCTATTATTCCAGCACACATCTCCAGTGCAATACCCAGTGAGGCAGGATATTTGTTTGTATCTATAACATTTTCTTGACGGTCTTGAGGATGGATACAGTTGTAATAAATTGCTACAGTATTGAAAAAAAACAAAGTTTTAATTAAAATTATATAAGCATATCTCTTTTCTTTTGATTTAATTTTTAAGATGATTTATTAAAAACAAAAGAATATACCTGGTCTAAATTGTTTGACGAAAATCATAACCTTTCTGCTTACATTGAAAACTACGATAGCAACGCTGTCGTGAACTTCCAGTAAATCCCAGGTTTTCTCTTTACCATTTTGAGTATAATTGAATCTAAAAGGTTTCACGTACGGCGAATCCGGCAGTGGTGAAATATAAACATTTTTCAAATCCTCCATTGTTTTGAAGGAGTAACTATTTTAATATAAATTGGAATATGTTACAAAAAACTCAGTTTTATTTTATGTTGAAGCCACGTAGGTATTTTAAATGAACACGTTTATATTCTCAAATTAACAAAAGGAAAATGAAAATTAGACGAACAGTTTTTTAGAATTCAAACTTCAACTACAATTTGACAAATTTTGACATTTAACATTAACTGACTGAAAAAGTGCACATTATAAAAAAATTGAAAAATATTCATAAAATAAAATAAACAGTTATGATAAATAAGACTGAAATTGAAATCAAAATGACACTATTTATTATTTTAGTATCTCTCAGCTCTCTCTCATATGTGTTTGTTAAAAAATATTTTGTTCGTACTATGTTTTTATATTTTATTTATGGCTATCTTTTCTAATTTTTTTTACATCGTAATTCGTAAGTCGTAACCCATAGAGTATATTGCTACATATATAAATCGTAATCTGTGGAGTGTGTGGGCTGTGGCCTGTATCTGTCACCTGTGGTCTGTAAGCATATACCAATGTACTCTGTGTCTGTAAGTCAGAGGATTTCATTCTGATAATTGTTATCTGTATTCATCATGGATGACGAATAAATGGTATTGGTATTCAGCTATGCCTAAAATCTTTTAAAGCAATGAAGTTCGATTATGTAGGAGTTTACTCAAGCATTTGAGCAAATTTAATTCCTAACAATTTATGAAATCCAAAAGATTTTGGTTTAAGAAAATCTATATTTTTATTAAATAGTTTTTAAAATCATATCATTATTGTGATTTGTGAATACTGAGTTATGAGTATGGCTCATGCAGAAAAGCCTGCAAAGACAGGCTTCATAATTAAGCTATCTAATGAAACAGTACAGAAATTAGCCGAAGAAGAGCAGAAAGTTGTTAAACAAATAAAAGAAAATATAAGTACATCAAATGAAAAAGTCGAACATAAAAGTAAAGGGAACAATGAAGACATAAAAGATAAAGTGATACTATCAAATGAGACGTCCAAGTCCACAACAGATACATTAACTGCGAATAATAACAGTAAAGACGTTTGTAAACAGCAAGAAAGTTCATCAAGTAAAAAATCTACAGAAGAACTTTATGGTGATTATGCTCCATATATTACATATGAAGGAGACGAAGCAATTTATACTGATCCAACAACACAACAAAAGTACATATGGAGCAAGGAAAGTAATTCATGGTCGCCTAAATTAGGAGATGTACCTGGAAGGACCTATAGCTATGAAAATGACACTCACGTTTATACAGAAGCTGATGGCTCCAAATCCTTTTGGGACGAGGAGAAAAAAGCATGGATACCTAAAGTTGATGATGATTTCTTAGCTTTCTATCAAATGTCATATGGTTTTGTTGATAATTCTTCTAAAGAAGAATCTAAAATAGATAAAAAGAAGGAAGATGAGAAAAAGGTAGAAACTGGTGTAAAACGAAAAAATGAGCCACAATGGTTTGAACAGACCGATGAGAAAAACACCAAAGTGTATGTATCTAATTTACCATTAGATATAACGGAGGAAGAGTTTGTTAATTTCATGCAAAAGTGTGGTCTGGTTGAACGAGATCCTAATTCACAAAAAATGAAGGTTAAACTTTATATGGATAAAGAACAGAAATGCTTTAAGGGTGATGCTTTGTGTACATATATTAAAATTGAATCAGTTGATTTAGCATTAAAATTACTTGATGGAAGCGATTATAAAGGAAATAAAATCAAAGTAGAAAGAGCACATTTCCAAATGAAAGGTGACTACAACCCTGCACTTAAGCCTAAGAAAAAGAAGAAAAAAGAGCTTGAAAAATTAAAGAAAATGCAACAGAAGTTGTTTGACTGGCGACCGGAAAAGTTTATAGGTGAGAGATCTAAACATGAAAAAGTGGTTATTGTTAAAAACTTGTTCCATCCTTCAGATTTTGATAATGAAGTGCAGTTGATTTTGGATTACCAACAGGACTTGAGAGAGGAATGTAGCAAATGTGGAGAGGTAAAGAAAGTTGTAATGTATGATAGACACCCTGAAGGAGTTGCTCAGATTTCTATGAAAGATCCAGAACAAGCGGATGCAGTAATTCAACTAATCAACGGTAGATGGTTTGGTAAACGTCAAATTACAGCAGAAACTTGGGATGGCCGAACAAAATATAGAATAGCTGAAACAGATGCAGATTTAAATCAAAGAATCAACAAATGGGATAAATTTTTAGACCAAGAAGATGGAAAAGGGAAAAAACAGGTCAGTGATGCTAATAAGAGTGCTGAGGAAACAGACACAAAAAAGGATGATGATCAGAATGTCCAAGAAGACACTGGCAGTAAAACTAGTACATAATGTAATATAGATATTTATATATGTATAGGAAAATAAATTAATTCCTAATAATTTATTATTCTTTTTATTATTAATTGGGGATGGATTTAATGTTCAACTTAAATATCAGGTTCAGCAGAAAATTATAATTAAACTTTAATATTCTTTTATGTTTAGTATAATATTCAAAAATTACAATTTTCAACCTTCTGGCATAATTGTAATACACTTTGAGAAATATTTATTAATCTATACACATAAATAAAATTGAAGTGTCTTTGTAATATCAAAATAACAGCTTTTTACTAAATGCATATGAAAATTGAAATTATATAATACTAGCAGAAGCCACGGCTTCTATTAACTGCAAAAAATCTCTAAAAAGGTAGTTCCATACAAATTTTCATCCCCTATTTTCCCTCCTTATAGGATGAATTTCGAAAAATGCTAAAACATATTTATTTAATTTTATTAAAGAGCACTAATACCAAGTTTCAAGTAATTCTGACTATAAATATTTTGTTCGATTGTATTATTACGTGTTTCCCGTGGAAATCAGATAATCTCCCGCGGTAAAAAGTAGCCTATGTCACTCTCTAGCCCTCTAACTCCACACAAAAAATCACGTCAATCCGTTTCGACGTGAAAGAAGAACAAACAAACAAACACATATTTATAATATTAGTATCGATATGGGTGGTATTATAAGAAAAACACAATTTTTAACATTTTTGTTTGTTTGTTCTGGCCATTTCTGAGATTAATCAGAAATGGCTGGACCGATTTTGACAGGACTTTTTCTCGCAGATAGCTGACGTTGTAAAGAGTAACATAGGCTACTTTTATTTTAGAAAAGAATTAGGGTACCACTAAAAAACGTACCGAAGCGAGGGTAAGTCGCTAGATTACAATTTGAACTTTTTTTTATTTGCATTTTATAGTATACTAGCGAGTAGCGACTCACCCTCGCTTCGCTCGGGTTCGCCCCTAGGCTTATTCCCCATACAAATTTTCACCCCCTTAAGGGATGATTCCGGGATAAAAAGTATCCTATGTCCTTCTGAGGGTCTCAAACTATCTTCTTACCAATAACAATAAATCAAGACAAAAAATTAATTTTTAAAAATATTTCAAGATTTCATTTTGTTACTATTTTATTACATGTATAGATAAGCGGAGCAGTTCCCATTTTTTTAAGCCACGTAACCCTAATTGATCATAATCCTAAATTTTAAACGGATCCCCATTTTGATAATAAAACTAAACTGATTGTGTTGCAGTTAGAAAACTTTCTTGTTTGACTTGAAAGAACAAATCATAAATGAAAAATACTATAAATCTAACTATTTAATGTGATGAGTGAATTTTTACTCATATTTATTTATTATATTATAGCTTATGCCTAACCGGCATAAGCTATAATATAAGTAAAGAATACATAGACTAATAATAATAATGTTCTCCTGACTGATTCTGGCCACGGTGGCCAATTTCATTGAGACTAGCCAACTGCGCAGGAGATATTATAGTGTACAAGCATACAGCAGACACAAGTGCACTCTCTATTCCTGTCACTCTCATATTCCGGTGGCACGACTACTCGACACGACCGGTGAGAGTTAAGGCACAGGACCATCGGCTTTACGTGCTCTCCGAGGCACGGGGGTAAAACACCGCCGACTTCCAAACTCCGGGCTGTTACTGAGGCAATTACTGTACAGAAAGACTCAATAACTATTTAACTTGGCCCGACCAGGGACTCGAACCCAGAACCTCCGGGTGTGCAGCCGTACATGCTAGCCATTATACCACCGAGGCAGTTATATATACTTGTATACATACATAGGTATAATGAGTTTTATATCCCATACTTGAGAAATGATTAATTCTCTATGCAAAGTTCCATCCCCGTTTTTACCCCCTTAAGGGATGATTTCCTGGGTAAAAACTATCCTATGTCCTTCCCAGGATCTCAAACTGTCTCCATACCAAATTTTGTCTAAATCGGTTCACCGAATTAAACGTGAAAAGGTAACAGACAGATTTACTTTTGCATTTATATAATATGGGTTAAAATTAGGCTTCATATCAATGTTTTATTTAACTCTCAGTCGGAACTCGGAATTCTTGTGACCCTTCCACGGAACTAGTAGTAAATAGTGTTCATTGAACTACCATTACGGATTAACGAACTCATTTTCATGGTTACTTACGATTGGAAATCTTTATTCCCTAGGGCACCCTGCAGTCGGGTAAAAGTAAGAAAGTCAATAGCCAAACTTTACTCACTTCTTAACTAACCCGGTGTCTCCACACTTTTAAAATCTTTCCTGGATATATTGACATTTTTTATTGATACCTTTTTTATAACTATAGAATTATAGATGCAGCATGTTTTAAATCTTCTTGTTATTTGAAATAATGTGAGTTTGAGCATTTTTTTATGGCTGCTACTTTAATTATTTTCAATGTAATGGCGCACAGTTACACAGTCATGTGGACAAAGACAAACAAACAATATCAGTAAATTTTAAAGCTTGATTGATTTATAGAATTCATCGCAAAAAAAAACAAACGTACCATAAATAAAGAGCCGTCATGTTGTCTGACATGACACCTGACTTCATAAGTTGCATACACAAGAATATCTAATTTGATTCGACATTTTATTATTAAAACAAACTTTTATTTGTTTAACAATTAACTACCTGATGAGCTGATTACATATTATATTTAGAAAATATGGAAATAGTGCATAAATCCTTAAATTCGCATGCGGGCTGAGGTGTCAACTGATATTAATCGGGCTTCCCAGGCGGTCTCAATGAATAATAACAGGATATGATAACATGGCCGTGCAATCTGACTCTGGCGGGAAGGACGACGTGAAGACACAGTTCGTTACTAGAGAGGGCACGTATCGATTGATGACATTGTCTGAGTACTCGAGACCTAATCGTGTGGGGTATACCAGTGGGTCAGGATCGACTCATGTGCGCGTTTCGCTGGTTTCCTTACCTCCCGGACCAGGAGGTGGAGCACCTGGATCTGATGGACAGGGCTCCGACGACAGAATTTGCTTTAATCATGGCAAAGAACTATATGTTTATGTGTATAGAGGTATTAAAAAGGTAACCATTTATTTTCTTTTTTGTTACTTTTATAGATGTACTTAAATATGAAATTGATATGTTTCATTTTATCAAAAAATGCTATGTACAAGCTTTAAACTAAAATAGTGTTAGAAAATTATTATGACATCTGTTTCATAATAAAGTGTGTTTATGCAGCTATGTTGTTAAGTTTTGATAACAAATCTCTAGAGATAAACATCTGCTTTGCACTTGTGCATAAGTGCAACACATTAAACTGTTATGTTTTAAAACAGAACTTGGAATGTCTATATTACATCATATTATTATTAGTGCTATAAATATTTAAAAATAATAAATACCATAAATTGTAGTTTATATAAACTTCTATATAAAGGGTTTAAAAGTTTGTAGAATAATGAAGTGTGAATTATAGTAAATATATGATTATAACATATAAATATATGTTAATAATTAAAAAAACATTTAACAATATTGAATTTTATTTTAGTATTGTATAAATATCCAATTTTATTATTTGTGCTTGACTAATTTAAAAATGGTTATTGTATATTTTCTTTTCTTATGTAATAGATAATTCAAATAAAACAATTCAAAATTCTAAGTATCAAGAAAGCGAACAGTGCAATAAATATTTAGTTATGTTCACATTAAACTTTGTCATTTCATGATTTTCTACTGATCTACATGTAAATACAAATTGGGTTTCAATGAATCCCATTAATATTATAAATGTGAAAGCTTGGATAGATGGATGTTTGTTTGTTACTCAATCATACCAGAACTGTTGAATGAATCTGGATGAAATTTGGCATAGAGATAGATTAGACTGGAATAGCACATCAGGTCTCAATTAAAATACAAAAAACAGGATTTTTAGCAACTTTATAAATAACTGGTCTAATTGTTGGTATACAGATTACAGACTTAATTAAACAAAATGTTTTATGTTGCTCAACCAGGCCGCAGATCTCACAAAGCCGGTGGATAAGAAGATGTATAAAGGCACAAACCCAACATGTCATGACTTTAACATTGTGACAATGACAACCGAGAGTGTATCTTTAGTCATAGGATTTTCCACAGGCCAAATACAACTAATAGACCCTATTAAGAAGGAGTTAAGTAAATTATATAATGAAGAAGTGAGTATTTTACATTATTTCTTTGTGCAATATGTTTTAATTAAAGTTTTGATGTGCATATAGTATGTATACAACAGAGAAATATTCAAGAATAAGCAATACATTGCATATATTTCTTTTGTATGTATAAAGAGTAAATAATAATACTCTTGTAATATCAGCATTGGACATAGTTTTACTCACTAGTCACCCTCCATTTGTAATTAATACATACAAAGTTTCCCACCAATCCACATTTGGCCTAATCTCACATAATGGGAGCAACTTGTGCCGAGTATAAGAAGTTAAGTTAAATGTTTATATTGTTATTGTTCTAACTGGTCGGGCATAAAATTCTTCAATCTACTGTAAAAGTCTCATCTTAGATCAGAAAATATTTTTCATACTTATATACATTATTTTAGTATTAAAGCTTGTGATGTTGTTTCGGATTTCACAGATTTATTTTGATTTTTGGTTCCTGACATTTCATGCTTTACAGCAATCATGGTCACGGGAATCTCTCTCGGGTTATAAAAGATGGTATGGTATGGTATGTTCGGGCTATTTTCCGCAACTCGACGACTATGCGCCTATTTTGCGTGTGTGAGAATTTAAATTCTTGTTACTCCTGCCATCCCAGTTCCTCCAGGAAGTTCAGCAGCCTCTTCGTCTTGCCGAAAATTTCTGGGAGTGACCTAGGGGTGCCAAGATGTCGAGCCCGGTACGCCTGGACAATACAAGATCACATGTGCAGCCGTTTCATCTGCCCCCATGCATGCCCTGGACTGTCAGTTATACCTATATTAAATAGATGTTTGTTAAATGGTCCGTGGCCGGTTAAGGCTGTGGTTATTTGCTTGAGTTGAGGTCTGTTAAGTTTGATGATACGGTTTGACATTTTGGCATCAATGTTTGAAAGCGATTCTTTCGCCTGTCTGCAGTCTACCACTTCACGCCATACATTGTTATGTTGGCGTTTAGTGCGTTGTCGAATTTGGCCTTTCAGCCAGCAAGAAGGTACCGAGACGATGGGCTCCGGTCCTATCGCCGTCATGTCCGAACCTCTTCTTGCTAGCTCATCCGCCCTATCGTTCCCCCACGAGTTACTGTGGCCTTTGATCCATTGTAAGGTGATTTCATTCCGATCACTAACTAGTGTCAAAGCGTTGTGACATTCATAGATCATACCTGATGTGGTAGAGTTACTATTTAATGCCTGTAGTGCTGACATGCTGTCTGATAATATGCGGATAGAGCAGTTTCCCACCTTCTTTGTCGCAATTGTTCTAGCTGCCTCAAGGATACCTAGACTTTCAGCTTGAAACACCGTGTTGTAGGTACCTAGGGGTATTGAAGTTTTAATGTTTAGATCATCGGAGAAAATGCCACAGCCAGTCTCCGATTTGGTTTTGGAGCCGTCGGTGTAGATTCTTAGATCCTTACTGTCGCGACCCTCACATGTATCTTCCTCCAGCTGTATTTTATATTTTTTGTCAAAAATGTATTTTATTTGTATTCCATCATTGGGTGCTCCCATGAGAGGAATGTCTTTGGCTACGTCTATCAGGATTTTTGTGTGTGGAGTGCCTGTTTTTCTTAGCAGCTTTTGACTATCTAGTCTTATCGCGGTAGTCGCAGCCTCTTGTTGTGTGAACAAGTGAAGCGGTAAAAGGTTTAGCATGGCTTCGAGAGCTGCGGTTGGTATTGTTCTCATGCAGCCCGTCACTGCCATGCACACCAGCCTTTGCCAGCTTTGTAGCTTGGATTGTGCTGTAGTCAAAAGTGTTCTACGCCACCATACTAGAGCACCATAGCTATCATAGGTCATATAACCGATGTATAGAGCCATAGAGTTATTTGGGGATTAAGGCCCCATTTTTTACCTATCATCCTTCGGCATTGCCAGAAGGTGATACTGGCTTTGTTTAGTAAATTGTCTAGGTGTTTGGACCAATTTAGTTTACTATCTAGAGTAATTCCTAGGTATTTTACCTCTGTGGTTAATGTTAAGGTCGAGTTAAAGAGTTTCGGCAAGGTGTAGCTTCCTAGGGCTCTTTTGTTTGTGAACATTATTAGTTCTGTTTTGCGTGGGTTAACACTCAGATTATAGTCAATGCACCATTTTTCGACTATATTTAGGGCTGACTGTGTTAATTCACAGACTGTACTTGTGAATTTGCCCTTGGGTTATAAAAGATAGTTTTATTTAAAATGTCAAATATTTACTGAAATTCAAGAAAGTATTATAGGTTTTATTATTTTTGTACAACAACATATAAAAATAAACTCGACAGCTAATAGTATTATTGATTATTACACTGATAGAAAGCAAACTAAATACCCTCCCTTATGCATAATTGATTGAGACTCGAGCATAAACTCTAATACTGGTTTAATGCAATAATGCATGCAAACATGTGAAATATTAAATAAAGCTTCAAACATAATAGAATTTTATTGGAATTATTTGTTTCCACTTAAGTTTTTTTTGTTTATAATATAAATATATTTGCAACAAATAAAAATATGAATAATATCCAATCCATTGTGATGGATGATTATCATTTTTAAAACTATCTTATATATTATGAGATTTATATTAGATTAGAAAAAGAAAAACTGATACTGACGAATTCAGAACCTCCTCCTTTTTGAAAGTCGGTTGAAAATTGTATACAAAATTGGTTCGAAACTAAAGTTAGGAAGAAGTTTGTTATATAATCTTTCTACTGTCTCTTTATTTGTTATTCACGCCCCTTCTATCTTAGTACTATTTCTTACACCTAAAGGTTGCCTGGAAGAGATAGCTCTTTTAGCGATAAGGCCGCCTTTTGTACCTTCTTCTATATTATATTGTATATTTTTCTTTTTCTCTTTTTGGGTGTACAATAAAGAGTAATTCATTCATTCAAGTTTGATTGTATTTGATCAATTTTTGTATTTATCTCTAGTCTATACAATTTATACTCCTGAGACTACATACATATAAGTATGGTGACCATGATTTTGGTCTCCAGTGACCAACTAATTATACATTATATTGTTAACTAACGACTCACCCTCGCTCCTTTCGGCTTTGTCCCTAGTTTTAACGTTTAGTGAAGATTTCTCAAAGATAAGATATTTTCCCGCAGTAAAAAATATCCTATATGTTGACCCGGATAATCAGCTATCATCATACCAAATTTCATCAAAATATGTCCACTGGTTTTCTCGTGATTCCTTCCCAGACAGATAGACAGAAAAAAAATCTAAAAACGATGGATTCTGCCTCTGTATCAATAATATTGACTATTCCAATAAGATTTTCTAAAAAATATTTAGTCCCTTAACGACCGCGATCACGCCGGCGTTACAGTTAACAATAGTTCTTTAACCTTGAAATAATTTGTTACCAAAAAGGTTTTGTGGGGATATTTGATATTTTGTTTATAATAGTGTAACAAAGACAAAACAACATTCAGCTCTACGTGAATTATTGTAGGCATAGCACTATTTTTTGAACTATTATGACTTTATTATCATACATATTTATTTGCATACACATTAACCTGGCAGTGATAGCTCAGTGGTAACGCGCTTGCTTGGGAAACTAAGTGAAGTGAGTTCAAACCCTGGGTCTCGCCTCTGATATTTTCATGTGCTAATCATTTTCAACATGGTTACCATATGCCTTTTGATGAAAGAAAATATCGTAAGGAATCCTGCATATCTGAAAGAACCTAACAAGTTTTCGAAAGGCATGTGAAATCCACCCGCACTTGGCAGATGCCATTGGCCGTGGGCTATGGCCTGATCCCCCTCGTATTGAAGGGAGGCCCGTGCCCAGAAGTGGGATGTTAGAAAAGGCTGAATACATACATTAAACCTGCATAATATGTACATCAAGTGTGAATACTGAGCTGTAGTAACTTTCAACAGTAGTCAATACCACCTTTTAGTAATACATAGGTACATATGGTATAGGTATATGGTTAAGTAAGCATAAAATATTGCACCATATTTTTTTTCCTTACAATGCCATTTTGATCTCTAGCTTTCACCCGCCAATTTGCAGAAATAAACTACAATTATAAAAATTCTTATTATTTACATATTTTTAATTTATGACGGAAATAGTATTTTGTTTATTCCTTACAAATAAAAATACGTAAAAAAAGGTACTTGAAAGAGTCATGTATGGAATGTTTCTCATTGGCGCTTACTTGGTATGTCAAATGTTACTGCTTCGATATTCGCACTTCGAGTATTTGTATTGTTCATACGGATATTTGTTCCGGTTTCATCGAGACGTTGAAATATATAATTTAGTCTCTATAGTTCTTTATTTTTGAATCTAGTTCTTTATTTTTGAACTAACATTGCCCGCGGCTTAGGTTTTATATATTAGCATACTCTTACATTGCAGTTTTTGTATTTTTTCTCAGAAATGAGGCATTTCCCCCCGGTAAAAAGTATCATATATGTTGACCCGAATAACCAGCTATCATCATACCAAATTTCAACAAAATCCCTCCAGTAGTTTTTCTGTGATGCGGTAACAGACAGGCAGACAAAAATTCTAAAAACTATAGATTCGGCCTCTGTATCGATAATAATGTTTATTTTAATAAGATATGTATAGATTACGTTTTATGAAGGACGACTCTCAAACTGTATTGGAATAATTCCTATGAGGATATATTGCATAATAATAGATGCAAACACAAAAAGTTCTGGCTTCTATTATATCTTTAATATCTCTAAAACAAATATAATATTTATAACTTTTACTGTTACAATTATAGTACCTGGGTAACCTAGATTTTAAATAAATAAGTATAAATTATTATCTATTAATAATGTATCTTATTTTGTACCACAAGATCAATATTATCTTTCAGAGATTGATAGATAAAACTCGGGTGACATGCATCAAGTGGGTACCAGGGTCCAGTAATCTGTTCATCAGTGCTCACGCGTCGGGGCAGCTTTACGTGTACAATGAGGAGTTGACTTGTGGCACCACGTCGCCACACTACCAACTGTTCAAGCAAGGAGATGGATACTCAATACACACATGTCGGACGAAGTCCACGAGAAACCCGTTGTATAGGTAGGGATGTTCTTAATCTATAATAAAATCTGTTTTGTGTTTTGTTTTATATATGTTATACACTATGGACGAAGTCGTTATCAACAGTTTAATGTGATATCCATACTTAATATTATAAATGTGAATGTGTTTGTTTGTTTGTCCTTCTTTCACATCGAAACGGAGTGACGGACTGACGTGTGTGTAGATAGTTGGAGGGCTGAAGGGTGACATAGGCTATTTTTTACCGCGGGAGATTATCTAATTCCCACGGGAAAACACTTTATAATACAATATAAAAAAATATGTATGATCAGAATTACTTGAAACTTGGTATTAATGCTTTTCAATAAAATTAAATAAATACGTGTTTTAGCATTTTTAAAATTCATACAATAAGGGGGTAAAATAGGAGATGAAAGTTTGTATGAAACTACCTTTTTAGAGACATTTTAGAGTTTTGGCGCGACGCGTTTTCTGCTAGTATGGTATAATTTTCTATAAATGAAGTCATGAATGTTAAATTGTCAGCTTTTGGGTAAATCACTTGGTAAATGTACTTAATATTGTTTTTTATTTCTCTTTTATCAAAACAATACAAAGACAAACATTTGTTTTTCAGGTGGGTTATAGGTGCGGAAGGTAGTTGTATAAATGAGTTTGCCTTCTCGCCGTGCGGGACGAACCTCGCTGTGGTGTCGCAGGACGGCTTCCTCAGGGTGTTCCACTACGACACCATGGAGCTGATCGGGCGAGCGCGGTCGTATTTCGGTGGCTTCCTGTGCGTGTGCTGGTCTCCTGACGGAAAGTACGTCGTGGTCGGTGGGGAGGACGATCTGGTGACGGTGTGGTCATTTAGCGAGAGACGGGTGGTGGCACGTGGTCAGGGACATAGGTCGTGGGTTTCCGTGGTGGCTTTTGATCCTTACGTGGTCAGCTTCACTGACCCCGAACACGAAGTGGAAGAAGAGAAGAAAAGTGAAAGTGCGCAGTGTTATAGACTAGGCAGTGTCTCTCAGGACACGCAATTGTGCTTGTGGGATCTCACGGAGGACGTGCTCAAGCCGCCGGTGAGGGCGAGAGCGTCGGCTCACCTATCTCCGAATAACAACTTCTCACCCAACGGTATTCTCGGAACGAAAGTTCCAAAATGCCCGAAGACTAATAAAATAGGCCATAAACATGCAGAGCTAAGCGGAAACGCGTCGGGGGAGCCCTCGGGAGCGAAGCCGGTGGCCAAAGCGAAAACTAATAACGTGTCGACGCTAAACATCAACGTGGGTAAAGCGAAAGAGGAGACGTCGGGATCGCTCGGCGTGAATTTCACTCAGCGACTCGCGGGGTTTTCCTTCGGCGAGCGAAGATCAGAACATCGGCGCAACTTCAGTTTGACGAAGCCGGCGGAGAAGGCAACGAGTGGGGTAGCGTTGCGGGGGAAGTCTTCGCAGTCAGACAGCTACGACCCCTTGAAGTTGATTGGTACGCCATCGTGTCCTCGTTTCGATGAGTGCCCCGTGTTAGAGCCGCTCGTGTGCAAGAAAGTTGCACATGAGCGGCTCACAGCGTTGCTGTTCCGAGCAGAATGCCTGGTGACGGCGTGTGCGGATGGATGCGTCAACACGTGGGCACGACCAGTACGAGCTCTCAATGGAGACGCAAGACGTCGTGATCGTGTCGATCGTATCGATCTCGTCGACTAGCCGCAGTGTGATGGCTTCTAGCCTTTGATAGGTTGTCGTGTTATACAGTTTTGTGGAACAGTGGATCGCATCGACCTCGTTGACAGACGCTTGGTGGTTTGCCGTGTGATAGTCTGTGACCTAATGTAGATTGTCGTGTTATACAATTAGGTGGAGTGGGTAATGGAAATGGATGGGTTGATACTTGTAAGGAATAATGTGGTAGTTGAGTATTGATATAATTGGACTAATATATATGGGAAAGTTATGTTTGTGTGTTTGTTACTCCGTTTCGCTATAAGCAGGTTTGGATACAAGGATAGACTTATGTTTTGGAGTCATATTGGCTGGTTGCAATTACGTACTCAACCCAGTGAAATAACTCGCTAGTTTTGGATATTTTAAATGTACGAGGATTTAAAAATTAAGGATGTATTTAAATTATTTCAATACTTAGTTACAGTGTTGTTCTTTGCAAGGGTCGATAAATGTGTATCATTTATACTGGTCAGTATCTTCTACAGGTGAATATGCCCAACTAGCATTTCTAAAGTCCAATACAAATAATTTATTTGAAAACCTCGATTAGATACATTTTTTTATAGTTCTAAAGTTTATTATTCACCTCAGTGGGTAAAGTTTAAATAAATAATATGAAATTGCGTGTATGACACGACAATCTATTAAAAAGAGGTATTAGCATGTTAGAACTGATCCATGGAGTCTTAGATGAATACTGTAACTTAAGTCCACTTTATGTACAGCATTTAACATTTAGTTTATTGGAAGCGAATATGTGATGAAAAATTTTACATGTTTTAAATTATTATCAAATGCAATATATTTGTTTACTTCAATTCCACCGCTGAGTATAAATGTGATGACATTTTGGAATTAACCGTTCTGATAAGTATGGTCTTGTTATTATGGGAGTATCATTTCTTCATCTTTTATGTGTAACGTGTCTTTTCCATTTTAATCGACATTGGTGATGTAAATTGTGCCCAAATGGCTCGACTAGAAGCCACAAAAAAATGAATTCTATACTTGGAAAGTTTTAATATAATATTTTATACTAAAAATACAAACTTTGGCTTTCAATATAGTTTTATATAGATTAAATTTTGTCATAAAAATATGTTTTTTTCTTTAAATTATTATTGTAATTGTTCATATAAAGAATTTTTAGTGAAACTATTGCCTATCTTTCTATAATAATTTGACTGTACTAATGTATGAAATGTTAATTTTTGCTTCTCGCTTAAAGACACGTTTTCATAAACTACTCTCATTTCATCGGCTCCACTTAGCTTTAAGACAGACAGATTCATTCGCATATTGTAGCTATATATATTTATATAGAAAAAATTGTAAATGGCGTGTGATACGTGTAATATTCCATTTCTGATTGGATTGAGTGTTGTCAGTGCGGGGCTTTGTTGAACTTCTTAGGTTTCTTATTAGGTAATGCTTTGATTCATAGATTTAAAAACATTCTTTAATAACTTTACTTATAATTGTTTGGTCTTAATGATACTATGTCCAAACCGCGACTCTTTCGCTTTTTTTCAGTTTTTTTTATATTTTGTTTGTATGGTGTAAATATTAATGGCAAAAAAGCCAAATTTTCAAGGAATGTATTAAAATAAAATTAATTAAGCAACCTTTGACTCAGAGGCATTCAATATGACCATTAAGCTTAACTTAGTCTATTTAAAATCTGGGTAAAGTGAGAGTACAAAATTGTCATAGAAAAACCTTTTTTCATCGCCTTCGCAAGGTGCCTAAATAGAGAAAAAAAAAGACTTCACTTTGTCATTAAGCATTAAATAAACTTAATGATTAGTACAAATATTTACCCTATCCGAGAATCGAACTCGCTCCCACAATAATAGTCGGAACCTTATTAATCGTAACGTATCAAAGTAACGTTTTATTTATCTAATATTATGTAAAAGACATAAATAAATGAAAACGGCAGAGACTAAGGAAGCTCATCAAAGCGCCCAGTTGTGTAAGTCGGTATGATACTATAGCAATAGCATTGAGATTTCGACTGTATAGGCGAGTGTACATTGTTATATTAAGAACTTTCCTTTCAGCTCACTTGTATATATAGATATAGGTTCGGCAATCAAAGATTGCACGCCCTTATGTCATTCAAAATTATTATAATAAATATATTCTATTTGGTTGCCTATTTATGGATAACCGAATTATTTATTCACATCTCGGTTTGGTTGTTTTAATTAAAAATAAAGCTCTGTGATGCTAGTTTGGTTAAGAGAGTGCAAGAGATTTTTATAAATCAATAGTTTTTTTTTATTGTAAAAGTGCAGGCAGCTGTTTAATTTAGACAACCAGAGATGTCAAGTGTATATTCGGTTATCCGTAATTAGATGCAATGGAAAAATGACTTTATGCCTATGACTTTAGAGTCCATGAGTGATATAGGGGTGTAAGAGAGCGCGCGTGAGCTTTTTCGATGTGAAAATTATTTATTTCATTTTTATTCGATTTGAATGTTGTTAAATCGAATCGACTCGTCTCTGAGACTTGATTGTTGTCGATTTTTTATCGTAATTGTTGATTTATCGTGTGTCATCTATAGATGTTGACGCTCACATTGCTTGTGCGAAACAAAATGGCGGTAAATCATGTTTAGATGCAATATTGGCATAATAAATACTGTATAGATATAACAAAGCTTTAGTAGTTGTAACGTGATGGTCATACAAAACAAAGGTTTAGGAGTAAATGCTCTTTTGAAGAAATATTTAATTGAGTCGTTTCAAGCAATGTGAGCGATACATAATTTGAAGTAAATAGTCGATACACGAGCGCGCGACTCTAACGAGCAATTGCTTTCTATGAATCTTAAAGTAAAATTAATTAGAGAGAAATACATAACTGTTCTACTCTCTTTCAAAAGACATTACGAACGAGTTTATTTAATAATATTCTTGTCATGTACAACGAAATTTTTGAATATGGCAACTCTTAAGGGGTTATTTTGAAAATCACAATAACTCTGTTGTTTATTTATTTATTTAAGATATTTAATCAATATTAATAATATTTTGTTTTAATATTTAATAAAATTTATGAATATTAACAATTGAACGTTGTGTCCGCGTTCGTCATAGTGAATTTGTTTATCCCACAACACTGTCGAGAGCTCTACGTTTCCTACTGTGTAGAAAGTGAAGTGTTACGGTACAATTTTATGCGAAACATATTTAAATAATGCATTTATTTTTTAAATTATGTTACAAAATTATAATATGTGATACTTGTTTTGAGATTAATTAAATTAGTATGGAAAATTCAGAATATTCTAAAATTTATTTGAAGTTACATAGTTGATTTTTCATTAATTAATAATGCATAAAATATTGTATTTTAATCAAATAATTTTTTATTAAATATAATTCAAAGAATAATTGCTTTATATAAATTCATTAATATTTAAACAAATGAATTTATCCCGAAACAAGTTTCTCATTTAACTTTCTAACATATTTGTTATATTAGATTCCTATTTTATTTATGTAGAGCGCTTAATGCAATTTTGTAATCATAACACGGCGTGTTATTGTAATATATGAATTATAATATGGAACAGATTTATACGCGTTACAGATGTCGAGATATGGGAGCCATGTTGTGATTATGAATACAGATTAAATAAATACGGTTTCTCATTTACACTGTGGCATTTTTATTAATTAATAAATTAGACGGAAGTTAGATTTGTTTTTCATATACTAACAAGAGGTCTGAGGTGGACTTGTGATATATATTCGGTCTTGACTAATGTTTCCAGGTTAATGGTATAATTCAAACAAATTATTACTGCTCGAAACAGAATTTCATTCATCAGATTTTACATATAGCTTTAAGAACAAATAAGAACTGATTCATTACTACGTAGTTATATTTTAGTGTCTATGTTCCTTTAAAAGCTATTGCTTAGTGTCTCAAGTTTGCCTTTTTAATGCTGAAACATTTCGAGCTTAACCTGGCAACATTAGTTTTGCCTAAAAATGCCATAGTATATAAATAACTAGAACAGGGCATAAGTGATTTTAAATTTACATAATATTTTGTACAATGAAAACAACCTACTTTGTGTCCGTAGAAACATAGTGATATTTAAAAAATGCTCTATTGTTTTTGGAAAAGGTTTAGTTGTTTATGCTCCGCTAAGTTTTCAAGAGGAACCGAAATAGCAATTAATTTAAATAAAAAGCATACCTATTGTTTGATAGTCGATACGAATGTTAGTTCCATACGAAGTTACTAGAAGTCGCGTGCGACGCAATTAATTTATTGAAATTTGTTTAAAACTAGTGAGACACGAATTATGAGCCTATCAAGTTAATAAAATAAATAGACGATTCTCTTTATAATTAATGCCGTTTTATTTAGCTTAAGTATTATCATTTTTACTTTAAGCGAAGTGCATTGTAGCCACTACGTGTGAGCTGTTAGATGCTTTAAACTCTATTACCACAGTACACATAATACTATACTAGTACAGATGCCTCATCCCATACAAAGCAATTGGACAGCGCTAATTCGGGCTATTTCTGTTTGCTTGAATAGATAATTAGTAGATGTCGTTGATTCGCATATAGTTTAACTGTTTTATTTCATAAATATGTGCAAAGTAACGAATGGTAAATATTTAAAAATTAATTCTGCGTTGGAATGAAAAAAATGTGATTTTATTAATTTTTAACCGTGTTAAACCATTCATAAAAAGTAAAAGCGCCATCTGTGATTATACACCACAAACCCATCATTTGATTGCTGATATTTCAATAATCAGTAAAATTACGCAAATTTGATTTACGGGCGCATTATTTCTTTTCCCTTCACTTAGAATATTTTTAAAACAATAATATACCTTTTTCTGATATATTTTTTATCCTTTGTTAATTTAATATAACTTTAATAACAAATCGATACATGTAACGTCATCTATTGACATTTATTTAAACTAATTTTTCTTTGCTCATGACGAGAACCCATGCTATTATGCTACATTTACACGCTTGCGGAGGCTTGGCAAGTGTCCACAAGCTTCAAGTCTTTACAAACCACTTGGATACCATTTACACGCTTGAGAGTGCATTAGTGTGTTCCGGACACGCAAGCTGTGCAGACGTGGACGTTGAAGTTGTGTCGACTATTGGCGTTTGGCTTGACATATTTTATCACTACAATTTTATTATATGTCTATATATAAAATTGTAGTAGTAGAGCGACACTAAACGCTTGCCGCAAGCTTCTTTTGATCTGTATTCAAAAGACCGGCACTAGTCCGGACCGTGACAAGCTCACGCAAGCCGAGCCAAACACCCCGTTCACACGGTTGTGTTTGTGGACACTTGTCGAGACTTGCCAAGCGTGTAAATATAGCGTTACATACATTTCGGCACGGCCACTAACGGATAGTAAAGGGAAATTAAATTTTACGCTCCTGAATTACATTTGCTTATTTTTTACTAATTATTGAAAAATCAGACATTAGATAATTCGTTTGATGAACGTATTCACAAATGGCGCTGTCTACTTTTGAACTGTTTACGACAGATAAAACTGAAATTATAAATAGTTTTTTTTAAAGAGGTGCCAAATAAATAAAATACGTATTCAATTGTTAAATATTTATTAAAAACTTCTACTTTTTCACCTAATACAAAATTTGTATTGTATATATTTGTATTTTTGTTGTCTGTACAATTTGTATTTATTTATTGCTGTTCCACGCGCATTTAGGATTGAGGAATGTCAACAAAAAAATAAATAAATCATTAATAATAATGATCATAAAATAAAACCAGTATGTTGGCTTGCATACAATAACTTCTGAACTAAAGTATTATCTCTCTGGGACATAATGTATAGAGCATATTATCCAAAGTTTAACGTTTAACTTTTGAATGAGTCATACACTGAAACATAAACAAACTAATATATAAATATCTCGTGTCAAGGTGTCTGTGGTCGCACTCCTCCAAAACGGCTCGACCGATTTTAATGTCTTTTTTGTTTATTTGGTAGGTATGATAATAGGTTATAATGTATTTTTCACCCTCCTACCCCCACCCCTAATTTTTGATTGAAGTAAATTATAATATACAAATACATATGTACATATATAGAATACAGAATTACCTTAAAATGGAACAAAAACAGCAATATGACTTACGTTAAGACAATTTAACGCTACAAATGTACGAAAACACGACTAACGTTATCACAACGAGCTGTATGGCCAACGTTGGCATATAACGAAACTATTGAGAGGCCTATGGCTAGTAGTGGAAGAACCACTTTCTGATGATGATGAGGATCTAGAAGCCAGGGTCCCAGGTGGTGGAGTCGCTGACGTCCACCAGCTTGTAGCACACGACGGTATCGCCGGGCTCCACGGCGATTGTCGGGTCCTCGAAGCGAAGGCCGCACTCCATGTCCCGCTTTATTGTTGTCACTTCGTCTTTGAGATGCTTCATTGATGCTAGCTTACCTGGGAATAGTTTACAGTGAATATTAAATAAAGGCTAGACACTTAAAATATTGAATAATACATAAATAATAAAAAAGATGGCCGTCGCGGGAGGCACTACAGATGAGAAACACCTTTTTTTTTTTTTTTTTTTTACAGATGAGAAACACCTAGGTTAACATTAGAATTCATAATCAATAAAAACCTATTATGAAATATGGAGTAAAATAAAAAAATAGAGTTTCATTAATAAAACCAATTAATTTTTCTTATTATTTTAACTATCTATATATTAATACGTGAAGGGAAAACTTTGAAACCCTTTTTAAACACATTGCATGTACGGAGGAGTATGAGCTTTGGCATAGTTAAAGTTTATATAGAGAAGGACTGCAGAAAGCAAAAATTATTTGACTTTCTGTATATAATTACTTCACTGCTAAAAGATATAGCATGATGTTAGTTATCTTTTATCAATATTACCTATACAAGTGCTTTCATAATATAAAGATGAAAAGTTATTTGTCCGTACGAGCAAATCTCTGAATCTTCTCATGGAAAAATTCTTATGAATTTTATAGGCATTTATACAACTTTGAAAAAAGAACTTCACTATGGATGAAAGTTTATGGATTATGGTTGATTTTCAACCACCGAGCGATTAGTAGTAATAAAAATTACAGGATATATAATATAAATAGAATATAACATATTTAAGTGTTTTTGATAGATACTGTTTTACAATAGAGTGTGTATAGTATACGCGCGCGCACACACAAGGGAGTCTAGAACGGTGCCGTACAAGAGGCATGGTGGTATGACAGCGTCACGCCGCTTTTGCCGTCACACCACGATTCGGTTTTATTGCCAAAGCGCCAATAGATGTTTCACATCAAAATATCATACTTATTTTAAAAAAATATTCTCGTGCAAATTATTTCCAACATGATAACCACTTGCCTTACGGTGAAGGAAAACATTCTAAGAAAACCTATCAAATTTTCGAAAGACATGTGAAGTCCGCCAACCCGCACTTGGCCAGCGTGGTAGACTATGGCCTGATCCCCCTCGTATTGAAAGAAGGCCCGTGCCCAGCTGTGGGACTTTAAATAGGGCTGAATACAATTATTCAAGTCATACCTTCGTATATGACCTGCTGTCCTCGCACGAGGCGGTAAAGCGCAGCGCGTGCAAGCGAGCCTTTCACGCAGCGGCAGCCCGCCACCGGCACCTTCCTCTTGCCCTCCGACACCTGGAACTGCTGCAGCACGTTCGCCTCGCCTGCGGGACGACGTGCACGCTCGTTATACATACACACACACACATTATATATACATATATATATATATATATATATATATATATATATATATATATATATATTGCTCTAGTATATGGAAGTGTCTACCCCATCATAATTCTCCTTACTCCCCTGTACCTCACACAGAGATACAGATAGGTTATAAATAGCCATAGAATTCCATAGATCAGTTAGTCTTAGGTGAGCTGCGGTTATTATAATACGGTTTTGTAATACAGTTTAAATACAGTGAAGTAATTTATATTATTGACTATTATAGCTGTCAAATTTAGTGTAAAATAAATATAAAAATAATTTAGTGTAAAATATATAGCTTTTTTAAAAAAAGGCTTTTAATTACACCTCGCAACAATACACATACGTGTTATAGTAGCGACACTTACGTACGTCACGAAGTAGAAGTAAATAAATAAATATGTTAGGACACAGCGCCATCTAGTTCTATGGTAAGCACGCGAGGCTCATCGTTGATACACTACACATTAATAACTTTAAATACATACATATTACAAATATAAACACTCATGACTGGAGTACAAACATTCGTGCTCACCAAACAAATGCATGCCCCCAGCGGGACTCGAATCCGCAACCGCTGGCACAACAAGTAGGGTCACTACAAACTGAGCTTAACGTGTCATCAGACACTAATAATCCCGTAATACATTGTTTTGGTATAACTTCATTGGTTTACGCGCCGCACGAAAGCCAAGCTCCCAGTTGGCTTGATCTTTTCCAATAACTTCGAGAACCATCGTCAAATTTAAGCCAATTTACACAAAATCTTAATGAATTATACCTACCTAAACCTTTCTCATGTCAATCACTCCGTCCATTGGTGAAAGGCGTATGAAAATCTATTCGGTAGTTTTTGAGTTTATCGCGTTCAAACAGTCAAATGCAGGGGAATGACTTTGTTTTATAATATGTAGTGATCCTATTATAAATAGGGAATAGGTATAAATGACTTTTGACGTTTTTAATGATACTCTTTTTATTAATCATTAGGGTCCGGTAATCGAGACGAGGGGTAATCGGAGACGGCTCACTTCGGTGGGCGGTGTGCAGTGCGGGTTGCTCCTGGTACTTCTCTGATGAAGAGTAGACCTCGGAAGCAACCCCTTGATTGTATGGCCAGTCCTCAGGAGGTCATGGTTACGTGCGTAAGCGATCCTGCGATGCCCCATTGAGACGGGGGAGGTTTTAGTGACCAGTACTGGCTTCTCTAGCCTATGAGTCTCATATAACCACCTGTATGTATACAGGTGGTATGCGTAAATTCATTTCGCAACATTAAAAATAAGGTATCTAGGTAGGTTAAGTTTTTATACTATACTCTGTTCACGGAGTGAACCATGCAAAGCGCTTTCTCTGTCTCACATTTGCATACAAACTGATAAGGGCAGAAAACTGTCTAGCTCCGCCAACTAACGCTTGCAACTGGTTTGAAATCATAGGGCTCGTTCATGTTGCTAATGGTTTAGTGAGGAATGTCTAATAAAATAAAATCAACACACAAATAAAATCACATTAAAGTAAATTTACCTTTAAATATTTTTATATACATTATTTATGAATTTGTACTTTTCGACGTATTATTGTCACCTACATTGATAATAAACAAGTAACTACACGAGAAACGTCTGAACGGTACGGAATGCAACGACGGACTAATTATGACTTGCATTGTAATCGCGGCCTAAGCGACTTATCTGTAACTAATCACGTGGAAGCACAAAATCTCAGTGCTTGGTTCATTCGGCGAACACAGTATAGGTAGGTTAAGTTATTATACTATCAACGTACCCAGAACCTCTTCCTCTTGTCTCATGGGTATTCGCGAGCTGATCTCCGCTCGTATGTCGTCCACCAGCTTGTATATAACATTGTGCCTTCTCACAGACACGCCCTGATTCTTAGCCTCGACCGCGAGCGCGGGCGGACACTCTACATTGAATGCGTATATTATTGCATTGAAGGCTTGTGCTATCTGGAAATTTTTTATTGAATATGTATATAACAATATTAATTGGACTATTATTTATTGAAAAACAAAAACAAATCCATCCCACGTACCGTACATATTTCTGGGATTAAAAGTAACCTATGTGCTATTCCAGACTATAATCTATCTTGCTGCCAAATTCTATCCAGATCCGTTGAGCAGTTCTGGCGTGATTGAGTAACAAACATCTATCCATCCAAACATTCGCATTTATAATATCCGATCCGATAAAGAGATCCGGTCCCTTAGAACAATTGCGTGGAACTCAACAACGTAGCCCAGCACGTAGGCTTAAAGGCGAAGATAACTCAAGAGAGCCCATCAGCCGGGATCCATCTCTGTGTAACCCATAGGGAAATGCTCAAAGATGGCCTCCGGATAATTCGTAGGGACTATGCAAACTATGGAAAACTAAATAGGGAATTATTATTATTATGAAAGTTTGTATGTGTAAGTCTGTGTGCATGTTTGTTACTCTATCACGCTGAAACAGTTCAAGGGATTTGGATGAAATATAAAACAGATAGATTACAACATATAATAAAACTTGATGCACGACGTTATGCCTGAAACAACGAGCTTTTCCAAACAACTTTAGTCTTATGATATATACTAGAATTATGAACTTATCTATGATAGTTTCAAGCATTCTGAAATCTGAAACGACCTCCGAAAAAGACCAGGTAATAGGAAGAAAAACAAAACACTTCCGCTATTAATTACTGGTAAATTTAAAAGTATATGAGATTTATGTAAAAGCAAACATGTACCTCCAAATCGTTAGGCGAGATCTGGCCTACGCCGAAGTGAACGAGCTCGAGCTTCACTCGGTCCTGTTCGTCGTACGTCTCTAATATATCCAAAATGGCCTCCACCGACCCATCTACGTCACCTGAAGAGAGAAATAGACAGTAAATTAGAAGTAATAGTAATGTATTACTTGCCCTTTTTAACGTCCCACTGCGGGGCACGGACCTCCGTTCAGTATGAGGGAGATCAGGCCATAGTGCAAAGGAAATGGGATGTTTCATGTCACCATAGATTAAGAATATTTGTGTCAGATTTCAATGAATTTTTTATCTCCTATGATATCCTGGAACAACACTTTTATATATCTTTTCATTTCGCTATAATTATTATATAAGGGCCGTATAATTATTATTACACTTTATCAGGACATTGAGTATGAGATTTTGTGTTTCAACTTTTTTTACATAATAAAATCTCAGCGGCAAAATAGACATTACGTGGGTTGCCCGTTTTTCGCAATTCTTTAAATAGTGATGTGTCACTATCGAAAATTACCGTTAATAAAATCAAGTATAGTTTTTTTATAATAAATAATAAAAATATCCTGAAATAATGTGTAGCTGCTTATTTGAAACGTAATAATACAAAATTAATAATGTAAATTTAAATTTAATCATGTGAATTTTAATGATACGCTTTAGAATACAAAACTTCGAAGCGAATTGTTTATAAATAAAGATAAAAATTTCAACGATTCAACAAAACGGTATCGTAGGTACTACACTACACAAAAGAGCTGGCAGCCATTATTTGTAAATTTGACATGTGTCAATTTTTAGTCTCTGAGATTAAAAAGCAAACTTTAGTCGACATTATTTTAAAATCGAGTATCGAACAGTCGATATTACGTAATAGGGAATATGAGTGAGATATAAATAAAGGTGATTTTTTTTTATAATCTTTTTTTTTATTGCTTTTGAATTAAGCTTATATTAATATTTTGTAATGTAGTTTATTTTTTATCTATTTTTGCACCTTTCAATAATTATTTTTTTAAATCAATAAGAAGTAACATTTAAATATTGACAGACTTAATTCAGAAGCAATAAAGATTATAAAAAAATATATTTCAATTCATTTAAATCAGACGCATATTCCCTATTAGCGATAAGATCGCCTTTTGTGTATTCTTTTAACTTTTGTATTTTAGATACTTTGTTTTTCTGTATTTATGTCATTACTGTGGTGTAAAATAAAGTGTATAAATGAAATAAATTGTTCAAATATGAACGCAGTCCTTTATATTGTACGATATATTTTATATAGGCTAACCTCCTTGTATATATACATACTATTTTGTTTATTAAGAAAATTCACGCTTGTTCCTTTTGTTTATAGGTTTACCTCTTTTAGCTTATTTACCATAATTCTATACTAGTTTTCATTATAAATAAATATATACCTTTCACCAGAACGCTAAGTGTAGGATGGTCATCGTGCTGTATCATCTTCTGCCTCGGTCCCGTGGGTTTGAGCCGCATCCTGCCGATCGCCCTCTTGTGGGCCAAGGTTTCCTTGTACTGGGCCCTGTGGTCCAACTCCTTGGCGGCGATGGCCTCCTGGTCCACCGCCTGCTTCTCCTTCATACGCTGGCTGTGACGCCATCGCATCACTTCGTTTGCACGTTTCTGGTACATTTATAATACATATTATAAATACTTTCTGTACCAACGGTCGTGGGTTCGACTCCCGCTAAGGGCATTAATTTGTGTGATGAGCACGAATGTTTGTACTCCAGTCATGGGTGTTTATATTTATAATATGATAAATACATACACGAATAAATACTACACAGATAAATAAAGAAGTGTCTGCATATAAAAGAATATACGATATATACGAGTAGAAAAAAAAATTATTTTTTATTTTTTTTGTCTCTCTGTTTGTTCCAACTAATCTCCGAAACGGCTGGATTGATTTTGACGGGACTTTTGTCGACAGATAACTGATGTTATAAAGAGTAACTTAGAGTACTTTTATTTCAGAAAAAAATGGGTTCTGCGCAAAAAGTACTACATATTATAATATAATGTTGAGTTTGTGTTGTTGGGATTTATCTCAGAAATTACTGTACTGATTTTCATGCGGTTTTCATTTTACTTTTACCAAGCATATAATGATAATAGCTAGCACATAATCAAGCAGAACCAGGAACAATAAGCAGTATAACAAAGCAACCCACCTCACTTTCCACCTCCAACACGCGGTCCCCGGCGGCGGGCAGCTCGCGCCAGCCCAGCACCGACACCGGGGTCGACGGCGGAGCCTCTTCTATTGACAGTCCCTCTGCTGTTTTCAACACCCTTGTCTGTTCGTTTATAAATACATAGTATAAAACAAAGTCGCTTCCCGCTGTCTGTCTGTCCCTATGTATGCTTACATCTGTAAAACTACGCAACGGATTTTAACGCGGTTTATTTTAATAGATATGTAGAGTGATTCGTGAGGAAAGTTTGTATGTGTAATATGTACATGCATATTATGGTACAGAATAACCGAGAAATTCAAAAAAATCTATTTCATACTAACCGTTAAAACGTACCTAAAGTCTGATGTTTAATTCGACGGAATTCTGACATTTCAGAAGTGTTGTCAACTTTGAAACATTCTCACTAAAACCGGAAAGCATTTTAGCAAACTTAGACTTACTAAGACTTAATTTTTTTTTGATAACTCTAAAATGGTAATTATTTTTTTATTATCATATTATTTCAATAATTATTAAGGAAATTATTTTTCTATTAAAGGAATCCCTGTTCAATAATCCATAGGTTGCAAGTCTTTTAGGAAAACCCCTTTGTTTGTAAAATATTTTGTTTTACTCTGTTTTATTCATTTAGCCATTAAAAATGTACATTATATTTAGCATTCATTGAATGCACAAAACAAAGACTATTTACAATGTCATACATATAGTTTACTGGATCTAATTTTGTTTCATATTTTTTGTTATTTTATATTAACAAAATTCAAAGCAGAAAAGGTTTATGATATCTGAATTGTCAAAGAATGACAGCTGTCATATTTCCGTGGAATTAAAAATCAGACTTTAGTAAATTATATATATACACTAGTATATTATATTACAACACTTTAACCGACTGTTTCAGAAGGAACGTATTGTTTTTTAGTTTTTGATCATGGCAATAAGTTGGTTGGAAAACCGCGAGGATTTGAACTAGAGATGAAACGGATATCTAACCACTAACGGATGTTTGGTTTATTCCGCTTTATTTTACACGTTGCGTCTACGCATGTACAGACACACTCGGCTGCATTATAGTGTTATAATATCTCCTACATTTGGTTAGTCCCAGTGAGATTGGCCGCAGTGGCCGGAATCGGTCGGCAAGACATTATTATACAAATTATTTCTAACATACATATAATGATATAATTCTTATATTTAATAATAAAACCTTAATTGCGTTTCTGTAAAAACAATAGTTTTATTTCACTTATAAAAAATATTAATTCACTTGTAAAAATAATAGTAACTCCTTATAAAGCCTCTATTTTAAATATCTTTATATCTTAACAAATTATGGAAAATCTTTATATTCTAACAAACTCTTTAAGGAAAATTTTGTAATTACACATTTCAACTATTTTATACATGTCAAAGATAAAAAAATGAAAAGGGGTTAAAGTAAATTTTGAATTGATTAAAGAGTATTTATGTAATAAATAAAAACTCAAGAAAAGCACTAGTATATAAAGTGGTTTTCTTTACATACATATAATAATAATAATCAATAATTTAGTTTAATAACTACATATAAATATTCACCTTCGCCCAAGCATTCCCAGCAACGATGACTGCTCCTTTCCGTAACGTCCCGCGTTGCACTAGCACTGTGGCTTGTTTACTGTTGCAAACAAAAAATCATGAATATCATAACGGTAATATGTTATTATTTATATGTATACATAATATGAATCTGTACATAATATTTTTGGGAAAATCTCTTTGAAATAAACATTATTATCGATACAGAGGCTGATTCTATAGTTATGAGAATTTTGTCTGTCTGTCTGTTACCGCATCACAGAAAAACCACTGGAGGGATTTTGATAAAAGGTATAGTGATAGCTGGTTATTCGGGTCAACATATAGGATAATTTTTACCGCGGGAAAATATCTCCTTTCTGAGAGCAAAAAAACAAAAACTGCAATGTAAGAGTATACTAATATGTAAAACCTAAGAATTAATAACCTAAAAAAAAATAAGAAAAAAAAGGCGGAGCCGCGGGCAATGCTACTATAATATATAAATGTCTTGTGTCACGGTGTTTGTGGTCGCAGTCTCCTCCGAAACGGCTCGACCGTTTTTAATGATATTTTTTTGTATATTTGATAAGTATAAGAATAGTTTTTTTTTCGCCCCCCCGCCACACCTCATTTTTTAAATGCGATTTTAGTATTTTTGTATGAACAATATTATATAAATGCAGGATCCGAGGATACCAATAAAAGCGATAAATATCTTACCCAGTGCGAGGGTCCATCAATGCCTCAATAACCACGCCTTCCACATATCCCCCGGGATCGGCCTTCAGTTCCATGAGCTGAGCCTGCAATGTCAGGGCTTCTACCAAAGTGTCTAAATGCAGTTTCTTTAGAGCTGACACCGGGATAGCCTGCACGTCGCCACCGACTGCCTCACACACTATCCCGTGCTGGGCGAGGGAACGCAATGTCTTATCCTGGAAGGAACGCCTTTTATGGGATTACTAGAACCATTCACGAGATTAATTCTTTTAGAAAAAATCACCGGCTAGAAAAGATAGCGTCTATAAAATCACATTATAAAAAACCGTATAGTACGATCTTTGAATTAAACGGAAATAATGTCTTTATTAGATTGACGTGAATATTTGACATTTTAAATAAAACTATTTTTTACGATTTTTTTCGCGGATTTATTTTAATCAGTCTCCCTCGTGGCCATGATTGCTGTAATATAAGTATTTGAACGTCGCGTCGGGAACCAAAAATCAAAATAAATCCCCGAAAATCTATTATTTTGAATTTACTATCAGATTTACGGATTCAGGAATAAAGATGCGGTAGATATACAAATATTTTTTAGCTTTAAAATAAAAAGTAATTTTAATATCGACAATATTCTAAAAAAACCTATTTTTTTGTTTTGTTAGATTTTTGGTTCCCGATGTTTCTAGCGCTTTACAGCAATCATGGTCACGATAGATTGATCCGCGAAAAAAATCGTAAAGATAGTTTTACTTAAAAAAATTGAAATATTCGCGTAAATCTAAAAAAGACAATATTTTTACAAATGAATCTAAAACAATCAGAAAATTAATCAAAATGACAATAATTGAGCCAAGAACTATAAACCATTGATATAATATATTGTTATAGCTAGACAGATAGAAAATGGGCACAAAACATAAATAAAATTGAAGCATACCTACAATGTTCACACCTGGCTTGTCGATCTTGTTGATGGCAACCAGTATTGGAACTGTGGGGGATAAAAATCATTAATAATTTTGAGGAATTATAAAAATAAAAAACCCGACTGCGTAAAAGAGTAACTAAAAAGACGGAAACAAGTTAACGAAGGAACTTAGTATTAAGGAGATGGAAACATTATATAGGTACTAGTGAGTCACCCTCGCTTCGCTCGGGCTCGTCTCTAGGTGATTCTTTAAATTGACATTACTTTTTTATTTATGAACTGATTGAAATAAAACAAATATTAAGTGTTAAGTGAAGTTTACCACGATATACTAGTGAAAACCATACCCAAATCGGGTAAGCAGTTTCTGACTACCGCGCACAAACGCACAGACAATAATTCTAAAAATCATTGTTTTGGGTTCTGGAGTAACTTACAGCCTACTTTTTAGCATCTAGGAACGCACCTAAATGAAGCCCGCGTAAGTTGCTAAAATTAAATAATTACTAAAAAAAACAACTAATTTTAACAAACCATCGGAACGCTTAAGAAAATCAATGAAATGCTATAAAATGATGGTATTTGTAATGGTATTTGTAATGGTCGGTACACACCATCAGCTTCCCTCGCCATGCGAATGCTCTCGAGGGTCTGCTCCATGACGCCGTCGTCAGCCGCCACCACCAGCACCACGATGTCCGTAGCGCGCGCTCCGCGGGATCTCATCGCTGTGAAGGCGGCGTGACCCGGCGTGTCTAGGAACGTTACCTTTTCCCCCGACGATAGTTTTACTAGTGGATTAGAATATTTACTTCTTAAATACATATTTTTGATTATTTGATATTGTATTGGTTAATATTGGTATTTATTCATACTACCTAGTACCTACCAATAGAAAGAAAAAACAATTTGATTTTTTATATGTATGGTTGTAATGGACAAACTAAAAATCCGCTAATTGATTTAGATGAAATTTAGTATGGAGACGGTTTGAGACCCTGGAAAGGACATAGAATAGTTTTTATTCCGGAAATCATCCCTTAAGAGAGTGAAAAGGGGGATGAAAGGTTGTATGGGGAATCAATCATTTCTCAAATAAGGGATATAAATTAATAAACTCATCATACCTATTTATATATATTATATATCTCGCTACTATATAAATGCGAAAGTTTGGATGGATAGATGTTTGTTACTCAATAACTCCAGAACGACTGAACGTATCTGGATGAAATTTGGCACAGAGATAGATTATAGTCTGGAATAAGGACAAAGGTAACTTTTTATCCCGGAAAAATTACGGTTCCCGTGGGATAGATTTGTTTTTGTTTTTCACAAAGCAAGGGATCGACTATGTATTCTATACTAACCATTATAACGTACCTATGCGAAACGATGGTGAGTAACTAGTTACCTAATTAATAACAATAAAAAGAGGGGGAATTGGACACATTAGCATCTTAATATGGGGTTTCGATTTGGATGAATTATAACTAAGATGTTCCACACACACATTCACACATTTAACGCTTAATATTACTTTAAGATTATATATCTGCCAAATAATAAAATACTGACTCACCGTAATATGTCATTATGAATCACGTATTATATGCAATATTAATAAAAAGATAATAATGATAATACAATTGTCAAACATAATTGACGTAATGTAGTAACCGGAATAGTTTTTTATCAACCGACTTCAAAAAGGAGGAGGTTCTCAATTCGACTGTATTTTTTTTATGTTTGTTACCTCAGAACTTCGTCATTTATTAACCGATTTGGACAATTTTTGTTTTGTTTGAAAGGGTATACTTCCAGATTGGTCCCATTTAAATTTCAAAAATAAATACCACCCCTAAGGGTGGAAAAATAGCTAATAATGAATTTAACCTACTTCTAATTGTCATATTGACTTGAAACTTTGCGTTTCTATTTCCGTTGATAGTACAGTGGTTCGGTATTGTTGACCTAATCTGATGGTAAGGCCAGAAGGTGGATAGGTGGAACTCTTCAACGACTAATAGTAGATACTTTGAGTTTGGGCTTATTTTGTTTGGTTTGACAAGCCTAACACGTTAGAATCCTTACTTTGCTACTACAGTCTACACTAAAAAGGGAAAAATAAAAACTTTTTAACAAAAAAGTAAAAACCGACTTCAAAGAAAAGCACTAAAAAGTAAAAAATAACTGATTGGTAGTTTTCATTTACTATACATACCTAATCAAATATTTTCGAAGTCGGTGTGCTTTGCTTTGTATGGGCTGGCACCGATTTCGAAAATATTTGATTAGGTATGTATTTATTAGGTAAGCTTTAATTACTTAGCTTTAATTGACATTACGTTTTTATTTATGAACCGATTGAAATAAAACAAATACTAAATACTAAGTGATACTTACCAGAATACAACAGTAAAAACCACATTCAAATTGGTTAAGCCGCTTCCGAGATTAGCGCGTACAAACGCACAGACAAAAAGATAAAAATTCTAAAAATCATTGTCTTTGGTTCTATTGCGTTAAAAAGACCCCCAGTAATAGTTTTTCTCAAATATCTTCCATGTACAGACGATCAGTAGGTTAATTTATTATTTCTTAAATGTAAAACGTTATCTGAATTGCTTGCATTTAGAATAATAGGTATATAGTATACTTATAAGACAAATTATAACATATTGCATGCTATCTACATATTTGTATCATTTTAGTAATTCAGAAGGAAGGAAGCCTTGGAAAAGGAGTGGTACTCAATTCAATTGTATTTTTTTTTCTTTTTATATGCTACTAGCGCCTCACTCTCGCTTCGCTCGAATACGTCCCCAGCTTGATTCGCCACACAAAATTTCATCCACATTTTCACCCTCTTAAGGGATGATTTCCGGGATAAAAAGTATTCTATGACCTTCCCAGGGTCTCAAACTATCTTCTTACCATTTTCTTTACAAAAACTTACTTTACATTTGCTTACCAATTTCATATAAATCGGTTCAGTAGATCCAGGGATTACCCCCTTTTTTTTTAACGTTGGGAAATGCATTTACGCACGAGGTGTGGGACTCACCGGCAAAGCCAGTACTACCCACTAAAACCCAACAAAGCCTTCCCTCGTCTTAATGGGGCGTCGCAGGATCGCTTACGCATTCAACTACGACGACCCGACGGCAGATCTGCCGAAGCAGACCACAACAACCACGGTGTTGCTCCACAGTCCACTCTGCTATCAGAGAAGTACCAGGAGCAACCCGCATGTTACACTGCCCTCCGAAGAGGGCCACCGCCAACCGAAGTGGGCCACCTCCCTGTGCGTTTCTTGGCTTCGCGCCCGGTTGGGTTGCTCCCTACAACGTCACAAACTCACAAAGTTTACCTCTTTATAATATTATATTCGTATAGATATGTTGTCTTCTTGAACAGTGAATCTATTTTCATATTTTTAACAAATAAAGTAAATAATAGATACCTAATTCCCCAAGGTAGTAAATAAATTCACCAAACTTCACCTGTAACCCTTAAAAAAATTCAAAATGATCCTGAAATTGGCTGTTGAAATATTTTTTAGGTATATATGTACATGTAAACTTACCTTCAAAAGCACCAATATGCTGTGTTATTCCTCCAAATTCGGTATCCACGACGGATGTGTCTCGCAAAGCGTCTAGCAAGGTGGTCTTGCCGTGGTCCACGTGACCCATCACGCACACCACCGGAGGTCGGGGGCGCAGCGCCTCGGGCTGCGCCGGGGGCGCGGGCACTGCGTCTTTGTTCTAAATTGTACGAGTTATATTATACATGCGAAAGTGATTGTGCGTGCGTATGTGTGTTTGTCACTTTGTATTGCTTGAACGATTTTAATTTTTGGATCTAGGTTGTATAAGTATATACATTATACAAGGGTTACTTGTTATCGATGTACCATTTACTATAACGTGGTACAGAATGAGATGGTGAGAGAAATCTTCTGATAAAGAAACATAATCAAGGATATAGGCACAAGGCAGGTATCCTGCTTTTTCCCTACATTCTCCTTTTTCCTTAAAACGTAATAAATTCAACTTATACTTTATCTTACTACCCACGTATTAGGTATGGAAGTCGAGTGAATGTTTTTGCCAAACATATAAGCCTTAGCCCCAATAAGGTTGACATTTTATTTTTATCAGGTTATAGAGAGAATCATTGCGAGAGTTCTATGTCCAAAGAAGACAGGGGGACTTTTTCTAACACTGACATAAGCATATTTTTTTATAGAAAAAAGGGGCAACGGAGTAGACTATTCATCTGAAGATGAATGGCTATCGACATCTCCAAAGTAAGGAGAGTTGCGGATGTATCATCCAGCTTTAATGATTTTATTCTTAAGATAATTCTGACAAAATTCATAGCAACTTACTTCATCTTCTTTAACTTCAGCATCAGGTCTTGGAACAATTTTGAATCGACACCCAGATATTTTGACCACATCCCTTATTATTTGAGGATTATGGATCACTGTATCTTTTTTATATACTGTATCAGAATTTTTATCAGCAAATTCCAATGCTCTGAAGACATGATCTGAAATATATTTTATATTATACAAGCAACTCACCCTCGCTTCGATCGGGTTCGTCCCTAGATTGATTCCCCATGCTTTGCCTGTACCATTCATATAGTAAACACATAAATATTAGAAAACACATTACGTCTTGAGAACCAACCTTATGTTGACAATACCATATCAGAAACCTTTGCTTGCACTTGCTTAACTCAAGATATACTAAAAAAATCATTACAATTGGATAAATTATAATTTCTATAACAACACAAATATTTTAAATATTCAATTATACAAAATATATACATGTATCATCAGATATTTTACATTGCAGAATAACCACCATTTTGTTGTAAAAAGCCTTAAAATAATTATGTCTAATGTCTATGATAGAAGATATTGTTTTTTTCTAAATTGTATATGAATGTACACTGAATAACTAAAACCTAGTCATTGATATTTAAGAAGCAAAATTCTAATGTAATCAAATACATTCTATATACTCATATCTTAAGTATGTCATGGAGTTGATACATATTCTTTAATCCTTATAAATAAATTTAAATAGAAATAAATAAAATTGAAGTGCCTGTTTGTAAAGTCAAACAGCATTTTACTTAATACATATGAAATTATATATGGCACTTTAAAAAAAAAAAATTGTCTGTCTGTTTGTTTTTTCCGGCTAGTATCTGAAACGGCTGGACCGATTTTGACGGGACTTTCACTGGCAGATAACTGATATTATAAGTTGCCTAAGTATGCCATTTTATCCTAAACTCTTAATATCAAGAGGATAAAATTTATTATTTAATTTGAGAAGGTTTCTCTACTTAAATGAAAACGAGTTACACATACTTAATATATCAATTATAGGTACCATTTACTCTGTTTAAAAACTAGATATACCAGTTTGTGAATTAATATAATTAAAAGATTCAGTTTAATCAGAGGAAAGGATAATTACATGGGAAAATCTTTTATGTACTTCTGGTACTATTCACATAGTTATATTGTAGTAAGAGAATAACAATGGTATAAAAGGTACTCATTTAAAATTTAAAATGAAATATTTTCAAAATATAAATTTGTAAGAATTGATTTTTTTTAAAGAGAGAAAATATTTTCATAATTATTAGAATTGGATCCATTATGTATAAGGTAAACAAAAATCCTTTTTACTATACCTGTTTTCTCTATGTGGTTAAAATCAATATCTATTATTCAACTCTTATGACTATATAATATCTATTTTTAATTTTAATATATACTTTTAAAAATATTAAATAATTTCAAAGTTTAATTTACTCACCTACATCTTTTTTCAAAACATTTGCTATATCTAATACTGTCATGTTTCGCCATATACCAACTACTTCTGATCCTGCTTTAGGTGCATATCGAATCACTCTCTTGCCTTGATTTTCAATAGCCTATAATAATAAAATGAATACAAGTTTAATATTATCTTCTTGGTTTATTAAGTAAATAATAATAAATATTATTTATTTTATAAGCATAAAGAATAAGTATCATTTATGTAATAAGATTAAAGAAAAGTAATTAATGCAAAGTAAAGTAAAAAAACTATTTTCAAGTACCTTTTCTTCTGGAGATTTTCTTTTTTTATAATTAATACTTGATATTGATAGACATCTATGACTATGAAATTCATGTTTTAAGATGTTTGCGTTTAGTTTATGTGCAACGTATTCTTTGGGAAAATAAATTAATGGGAACCTGTGAAGAAATACATTTGTTATAATTTCTTTCAATCTCGGTGTAAGTTGTGATTGTAACAACGACAATATGATTAAGTAGTAAGTACACAAAATAAAAAATATTTTTTTAGTCCTGCATCGCATTCACGACTACCCCTAGAGATTACAATATACTTTGGTTCTTATAGTTTTGTTTAACATGTATTGCACAAATTAATAAACTAACCTTTGAAATAAAATATTTCTAAGCATTATGGTATAGTATAGTCAGTAATAAGGTTGCATTCAATTTCTTAATTCATTCCGTTAATAATACACAGATTGTTTCGAAATAGTAGCTACAGCCAGCATTTCTTCAATAACTTTATATAACCTAAACCAGTTTATAACTATACTCTTTGACCTAAACCATAACATCTGTGCTTCATAACCTTACTGACAAGTGACAGACGACAGTCAGATTTTGTCAATTGTCTAGTTGTCTATGGCCTATGTATGTCATAATAGATAAGTTATATTTTATTTCGGAAAATTATCACATTCTACTTAGTACATCCACGTACAATTTTATTATTTAAGTGAATAATGTTCACAGCTTTAAATAATTAAAACTTATTCTCTTACTAAGTTTTATTTATAATTTTAGAAATTCGTTAATTATAGCTGTTTACAGTTGAGAACTATTTATGTATTTTTTTATTAAAAAGCAGTCATAGACAATTACTATTTATGTCCGCCATTCATTCTTTTGAGTTGCTTTTTCGTTTTACGATTCCGTAGAGAGCACGATTTGTCACAGAGTTCGACGCAACATCATAGCTTTTAACTAATTACGTAGAAGCAGAATAAACTGTAAAACCATACCCGGATCGTAGTAACTTTGATACTAATAGTTCAGTGTAGCAGATTAATAGTTCACCTGTGAGACGAGATCGTATCTTAGATCCAGTGATGCTCTTCCTTGCTATTAACGTTATCGTCCGCGACATCTACTCGAGTGCCTGATGGTGCAGGAACTATGTGCGATATAGCGTAACAATAAACAGGGACTCAGCATGGGGGCCTTTTTAAACAAACCTGAAACTAAGAAGTATAACGAGAATGGAGAAGGTAACGGACTTCGCTATGGCGTGGCGTCGATGCAGGGCTGGCGCGTGGAAATGGAAGATGCTCACCACGCGCAGCTTACTTTGAATGGAACTTTATCGGACTGGTCATATTTCGCTGTATTTGACGGCCACGCGGGAGCCCGGGTGTCAGCACACTGTGCTGATAATCTCCTCGAGTGTATCTTGCAAACGGATGAGTTTAGGCGAGAAGAGATAGCGGAGGCGATCCGCACTGGTTTCCTAGACCTAGATAAGAAGATGCGAGAACTGCCAGAGCTATCGAACGGTGAAGAGAAATCGGGTTCTACAGCAGTATGCGCGTTCGTATCGCCAAAGCAGATATATATAGCAAATTGTGGCGATTCTCGCGCAGTTCTTGCTCGGAATGGAGCGCCAATATTTGCAACGCGAGATCATAAGCCCGAATTGCCATCAGAAAAGTCTCGTATAGTGCAAGCTGGTGGTTCAGTAATGATACAGCGTGTAAATGGCAGTTTGGCGGTGTCCAGAGCGTTAGGCGACTATGAATATAAGAAGGTGCTGGATCGTGGGCCGTGTGAACAACTGGTGTCCCCAGAACCCGAAGTATCTGTACATGAGAGGCTAGAGGCGGAGGATGAGTTTCTGGTGCTAGCCTGCGATGGTGTTTGGGATGTAATGAGTAATGAGGATCTGTGTGCGTATGTGCACTCACTGCTGCAACTGACAGATGACCTTGTTGCCATCACCAATCAGGTCATCGACACCTGCCTTTATAAGGTAAATATATACATATAAGTTGTAATTTAATATGAGTTTGTAACATTGAACCATGGTAGTTATCAAGTATGGTGTATAATCTTGTTAGCGTTGCAGTAAATCAATGAAATATGTAGCAATAATAAATTGTAATATACATTTACCCAAGCTTTACATATATCACTTAACACAAACGAATAATTTATTTAAGTACCGGCATGGACAATATCTGTCAGATTATGAGAAATGTTAAGTATATATATATGTATACATGTATACATTTTATTTCATTTTAACAATATTACTTTATATTATATTATTATATATTATGTGACAGCTAAACAGCTTGAACTTAACTGACATTTTTAAGATTAAAAATGTTCCTTAGAAAATTTTAACATAGGTATAAGTAGAAAACTTACAAACTAATGATATTTTATAAGGCTTTAATATTTGCCATATATTAAAGCTAGGTACTTGTTACTATTTAAATATCTAGCTTTTTCATCTAGTATTATTACAAAAAACATATATATTAATGTCTACAGATAAAAAATTGATACATTAGGAGGGTATTACTATTTTTTATAGAAAATATTTGTTTTTAAACATATTGGCATTCACTGTGTTTTTAATTAATCAACATACAAACAATTTTTGGTTAATATCTTTCATGTTATATAACATATTAGCTTTTAAAGGAAAAGTAAACAAAAACTACTTGTAATGAATGATGACAAAATATTATGTCATCATGTTATTTATTAATATGCACATAACATAGCAAAGTTAGTTATTTTATTTGTAATAGTAGAGACTTACCTATTTTAATTAATTGCTTTATATTATTATTTTTTTATTTTAAAAGTTTTAACATTGTTCTTTATTTCTATTTTTTTTTAATCTCAGCATTTTAAATAAAACAATGTTTTCTTTTATTAAGTAATTTTTTGGACAGGCACTCTGTAACAACTAAGTATATGTATAATGACATACCTACTACCTTTGAGATATCTAAACTTTAGTCTCTCCCATGATGTATTCATGACTAAGGTTTAGATTTAGGTAAAGCATTAGAAATGCCAGGAACCAAAAATCAAAATCCAGGAAAAAAACCGAAAATATAGTTTTATTTAAAATGCTGAAATAAAAAAAAAATAGACATTAAGAACAATGTTAAAACTTTTTAAAATATATATAAGATATTCACATAAATCTAAAAACGTATTCCATTTTAATATGCTGTTCAATTAAATATATCTAAAAATATCTGATATATATCTTTCCCACTAACTAAATACACAAAATAGATGGTATTGGTTGAACTTATGTTTGACTTGCAATGTTTAAATGGTATTCATTCATCCATCTATAGAAATTGTGTCAGTATATTAAATCAGATCTGTTTGTATAACAAAGAGCATGTCATTCAACATTAGTTTTTCAATAACTTTACAGCTTTCCATTCATCTTTCAGTAGTGGGTGTACATTGTTGGTAGTTTTATAATTAACTTTTGACTTTATAAGAATTCTAGTTAGGAAGTTTATTCTAGGTAAGTTTCTATGAGGAGGACTTGTTGGTTTGTATAGGAAATACTCATTGCTTTACAAATGAAATTAAATAATAATTTATTTTCATTTTGCTAATATTATTCACTAGCATTTCTCGCGGCTCCGCCCGCGTTCAGATGACTAAAAATTCTTAGGTTTAACATATTCATATACTCTTACATTGCAGTTTTTGTATTTTTTCTCAGAAATGAGATATTTTCTCGCGGTAAAAAGTATCCTATATGTTGACCCGGATAACCAGCATCCGGATATCATACCAAATTTCACCAAAATATGTCCAGTGGTTTTCTCGTGATGTGGTAACAGACAGACAGACAAAAATTCTAAAAACTGTAGATTCGGACTCTGTATAGATATAATATAATATAATGTCTATTTCAATTAGATTTTCCAAAAAATATTTAATGTACAGATTCGACTTAGTTACAATTTTATTATAATATGTAAGTATAGATTGCTAATATTTGTAGTCTACATTTTTTATTTCTAAATTTATCAATAATATTTATGTACATAACATCATTTGCAAAACTAAACATTTCTCGCAACAAAATAAGTAGCTTAATAGAATATAGTGACTTCTCATTTTGTTCTCTACTTTAATCCAGTATTAAGATACAATTTGTTGGACGCGAAAATGCTTTTTTTTCTGTACTTAAACTGATCACTTAGTACGAGTTTTGAAAGTAAATTAGACGAACATTTAACTATTGATATTTTCGTAAAAACTCATTTAGTGGAAACTTACACAAACCAAACTTAATGTTATGCTAGTAGTTAAAAAAACTAATTATATACTCAACAACGGTTTTCATAGAATCATCCCGTATCAAGAACCCAGGATAAAACTAAATATCCTTTACAAATATTCGCACCTTCGCGGAAATCGATCCCGTGTCCTTTGGCAGCCGGTACGTTCGAACGGGCCCTTCATCACGGCGGTCGTCATGACAACTAATAAGTTGCCTTTAATAACATATTTTTCAAGAAATCAATTAAATATTAATTATTTTTCAGAAGTAGCAATTATTTTTTTATTATTATTTATCAATATATAATCTATCTAATACCTTTTAACGAGCAATTATTGTATATTTATTTATACGGGCGATCTTGGAAACGGCTCTAATGATTTCGCAGAAATTTGGTATGTTTTTCAGGGGCGAAAAATCGATCTAGATTAGTCTCATGTTTGGGTAAACGCGTGTTTTCGAGTTTTCATACGGTTTTATTTCGCATTATTCCACGCAAAATATGGTCGCTAATTTCGCACGCTTGGGCATAAGCATCGTGGTCAAGCGGCCAAGGCGCAAGATTGACAATCATAGGTGTCCGGGTTCGACTCCCGATCGGACACAAAGTTTTTACTTTATGTTTATTTTTTATATATTTAAGTTTTTATTTTTTTTTATCTAAAAAATACGATATAACAAAAAAAACTCCGAGCCAAGGTCGGTTGCCCAGATACTTTTATTAAGTTTAATTCGCTTATAATAATTAGTACGTTATATAATAAGTTGTTGTATTAAAAGAACCCATCACAAGCCAAATATAATTTTCAGGGTAGTAAAGATAACATGAGCATCGTCCTGGTGGTGTTCCCGGCGGCCCCCAAGCCGAACGCAGAGGCCCAGCGCGCTGACCGCGAGCTGGACGAGACCCTACGACAACGGCTTACAGGTTGCTATTACTCTCTACTGCATGCGTGCGCGCCTGATAAGAAACAGGGTGGGGTTAGGGGGTGATTTTATTTTATATATGTGTACAAAATGTAACGGTTCGTTCATATTAATTCCGTTAACGTCGATATCACGATTCGTTATTGGCAATATCGAATCGTGATTTTATATAATTCGTTGCAGTTAAAGGAAAATAAAATTATTAAAAACTAAGTTTGGACTGACCAATATGCAATATATAATATATTTTTTAACATCGTAAATGAAAATGCTTTAAAGATTTTGAGTCAACATTATAATTATAAATATTCGGTAAAAAAAAACGATTAAAGAGATTCATCTTTACAAAAAAAATTTTTTGTATTTGAATAAGTATGTGAACGAGTCGTTAGTGTATGTTTGTATATTTTGTTAAGTTTTCAGGTTGATATGGTTAAGATACAGGGGGATGGATGTAATTAATGTAATTTTATGGGATTGAATCACTTAGAGTATCTAATAATATAAGAAAGGACCACAATTTGTTCTATGAAAAGTAGTTACAGAGTAACATAAAGACTTAGTTAAAATAATTTGGCTTAACTACAAATTTTGGTAATGTTGGCTGTGTTTTTTGGATCGTCATATGTTTTGATAATAATTTAAATGGAATGGAATTATAGGCAGAACTAATATTGCCCGCGGCCCCGCCCGCGTTTAGATGACCAAAAACTAAATTCTTAGGTTTTTACATATTAGTATACTCTTACATTGCAGTTTTTGTATTTTTTCTTAGAAATAAGATATTTTCCCGTGGTAAAAAGTATACTATATGTTGAACCGGATAACCAGCTATCACGATACCAAATTTCATCAAAATCTATCCAGTGGTTTTTCTGTGAAACGGTAACAGACAGACAAAAATTCTAAATACTACAGATTCGGCCTCTGTATCGATAATAATGCTTATTTCAATAAGATGTTCCAAAAAATAATGAACAGATTCGGCTTAGTTACAATTTTATTATATATAAATAAAAGAGGTTTTAGTATTTATTATGCTATGCTCTGTGCTAAAGCACTTATTTGAAATCTGATGGACTAACATATTTTGTGCTTTTACTTTTATCTAGGTACCTATTTTATAAAAAAAACCTAAATACTTCAACATCTAAACTTTAGGGGAATACCCGATTTTTTCACTCATGGTATAAAGTTACACGTATCTACTTGTTCCTCGCCATTAAAATATCACAATATTTCAAAACTATTTATCGAAAGATAATATATATGATTCATTTTGTGATTGTAATCTATGCAATTTTATCAACTTTTAAATAGCTTGTTGTTATGGTATTCATGTAGCAACACAGTGTGTACATTTTGAATTTAAAATTTTAGGTTCTAATTGAGACCACATTTAATATGTATATATCTACTTTGCTTACAAGATAGAGGTTTTTTTTTTAATTTTTTTACATTAATTTTTGTCCGATTTAAAAAAAAATGAGGTACTTAATTGGACCAAATAAATAAACGTATATTTAAAAATGTAATCCATATACACGTTTTTTTAAAGTACTTTTTTGCTTTAAAAGACAACGATTTTAGATTGTAGTAAATAATAATTGTATAAAATCCACTTGTGTATTCAAATTTGAGAAGAATTGAGTCAATAATAATCTATTATATAATAATAAATTATTAAGGAAATGCCAGTTTGTGCCAAATTTAGAAAAATATAGATATAGTTGTTTCTAATGGAATACGCTAGATTGTTACATTTTTTTAGTAAATTACATTACAAATAAGCGAGTTTTTAAGTTTTAGTTTTGTTTGAAATGTCGTATTGACAGGGAGATAGGCAACGTTTTGTTTTCAAACTGATGAGTTTTTAGAGTTCCATAGTCTAAAGACAATATTGGTTAAAAGATAAAGTATACACGAAGGCAGTGGTAGCCCAGTGGTAACGCGCTCGCTTGGGAAACCGAGTGAAGTAGGCTCAAATCCCGGGTCTCGCACCTCTGATATTTTCATGTGCGAATCATTTCTAACGTGATTACCACTTGCCTTATGGTGAAGGATGTATGTATGTCTGAGAAAACCTAGCAAATTTCCGAAAGACATGTGAAGGCCGCCCGCACCTGGTCAGCGTGGTGGATTATGGCCTGATCCCCCTAGTACTGAAGGGAGGCCCGTGACCAGCACTGGGACGTTAAAAAAGAACTAAATACATATACATACGAAAATAATTTAATTTCAACCCGACAAAGCTAGCAAGCAATCGTTTAATGCCAATGCGTAAGAGCAATAACTATGTTAGTGTATATCAGTATAGATTTCGAGTAACGACTAGTATTATATAGGTATTACACGTGCAGATTAAGAATGGGATTAAAAATGGCGGCTCATCGCCTTGTATTACCTGCGTTATGCGTAATACAGGCTTAGGAACAATTATTTATTTTGATAATAATGTATTAAAAAATACTAACAATATTGTTAATTTATCTATATTAATAATATTATAAAGAGGTAAAGTTTGTGAGTTTGTGACATTGTAGGGAGTAATCTCTGGATCTACTGAACTGATTTAGATGAAATTTGGTAAGAAAATAGTTTGAGACCCGGGAATGGACATAAGATACTTTTTATCCCGGAAATCACCCCTTAAGGGGGTGAAAATGGGGATGAGAGTATGTATGGGAACTCAATCTAGGGACGAATCCGAACGAAGCGAGGGTGAGTCGCTAGTTAATATATAAAATTATTGATATTACGTTATTTTTTTTATAAAACATTGATATATGTTCAGTGTTTAGTGTTCAATAATATTGATATTATACATTAAATGCAATAATATAAATTTATTGAAGGTCATGTCATAGAACAAAGTAAAAAATAATATTATGTATAAGAATAATTATTACCTATTTCTTTGCTATTTTTAATAGCTGGTATTTAAAGACCAGACGGTGATAGTTTTACACTGAATCCTAATAATTATCTATCAATCTGTGGTTCTGCTAACAAAATATAGAAATTTGGCATAATTTGTGTGGAGCTTAATACTTTCTTAGATTTACGCGAATATTTGACATTTAAAATAAACCTATATTTTCGGTTTTTTTGGTAGATTTATTTTGATTTTTGGTTCCCGACGGTTCGACTATCGAATGCTTTACAGCAATCATGGTCACGGGAGAGACTAAGGTTTTAGACGTTTCAAATGTCATTATATAGTTGGTTCAGACAGTACCTACCCACAAAACTACAATGATTTTACAAATACGAAATGTATGGGGCTTACATCAGGAGTCTATGTCTAGGAAAACTATAGATAGATAGGTTATTGTGATTTGCCGTAGGGTTTTTAGAATGTATAGACATCAAAATCCCATTTATTTTCTGCACAAGTTATAATAATTTATTTATATCTGTTTCATGAATTATCAAAAATATTCTCGTTATCTGCCTAAAATGGCATTATCGATTATTATTTAAGCGATTGTTTCTAAGCAATCCGTAATTTGTACTACTTGTATGTAGACTGGAATGGATGTACATATTTTAAAACTGCATTTTAATATAGAATTTATTTACATTATAAAATACTTTAATAATGCGTAAAATATAAATTAAACACTATAACGTCCTTAACTACAGATTTTATTGGAAGGAATTTTCGTATCTATACAAAACGATATTAGTATTGATATTGCTATATTCTATCAAATCTAACAAATACATTTTGACGTTTCGCAATTTTTATTACGTAATAACTTTGTTCAAACGTATATACGTGATTTCAAATAATAAATTCTAAAATATCAAAAAATATTAAGTTATTTATGTAATTATCTAAAAAGTGTGAAGATGAAATAATTGATTTTCCTATTATATCAATGTATTAGTCATGAAAGCAGTATTGCTTTGGAAATGTTTGCATGTATTGGAAATGACAGCTTCGCATGCAACGTGTCAATATTTATAAATGGGTCTACGCTTTATATGTATCGCACGCTTCATAGAAATAAAGAAATGCCGCCATTTGGAACCACACTCAAAATAAACACCATAAAAATAACCATCCTGTGATCTTCAAAGCCCTCTCAATCACGATGGTCTGTTTTACGTTAAAAGTTGCTTGGCGTGTCGAAGTTCATGCTCCTATACGAGTTTTCAATTTATTTAGGACCAATATAGTGTTGGAACTAGATTTTTTGCTTAAATCTACACGATATACGTTTTGATACGAATTAAAAAGCGGACATAATGAGTAATATTAAATTAATTAATACGTCATGAGAAGACGACGAAGAAGAGGTTTAGAGGCGGCTGATATATGGGCCTCTCCGGTAATGACCAAAACGCAGTACATCATACCTTCTTAGATTTACGCGAATATTTGACATTTTAATAGACCTATTTTTAATACTTTCTTAGATTTACGCGAATACTTGACATTTTAAATAAAACTATGTTTTTGGATTTTTTCGCGAATTTATTTTGATTTTTGGTTCCCGGCGTTTCGAATGCTTTACAGCATCCATGGTCACGGGAGAGACTGAGGTGTTACATGTCTTGAAGGTATAGTTGTTACAGACAGCCTACCCACAATTAACAAAATGAAAATTGCACCAATTACATTACAATATTTTTTAACTTAAAAACATTTTTATAATTTTAATTATAATATAAAAATGTTTTAAAGTTAAAAAGAAAAGAAAAAAATGTTTTAGGGTTAAAAAATATTATAATGTAATTGGTGCAATTTTCATTTTGTTAATTGTGGGTAGGCTGTCTGTAACAACTATACCTTCAAGACACTGTCTGTAACAACTATACCTTCAAGACATGTAACTCCTCAGTCTCTCCCGTGACCATGGATGCTGTAAAGCATTCGAAACGTCGGGAACCAAAAATCAAAATAAATTCGCGAAAAAATCCGAAAAGATAGTTTTATTTAAAAAGACCTATTTTTTTGAATTTCGTCGCGGATTTATTTGGATTTTTGGCTCC